CACCGCTCATCTCAAGCATCGACAGCAGTCTCAGCGGGATCGACCTCCGGTCTTGGGAGGGAGTGATGTGGCGACGCGTGCCACATGTCAACGGATGACGTCACAAGAATCCTACATCGCACATGCAAAGTTTACAAGCGAATAAACACGGATAGAAAATCCCAACGAACAACTGTTGGGCAGAAAGCCCGCCAGGCATGATCACCTCGCCTGGTCGGAGGATCCTCCTTTTTCCGATCATAGGGAACTATACTCTCTGTTCCCTAAAATCGTGTACTTGTGATGACAAAGCAAAAGTAGGTACGAAATTTGAGTATATTTAGGTACTTGGTATGCGTGTGCGCACGTAACGGCGACTCCACCATAGACTCCACTGTCTTATTGGTCGAGAAAGATCGCCGTAGTTCATTTCAAAGTGACCAACGCCTGAATACTTACTGAAAGGCTCCTTATCGTGCCATCTCTGTCAATTTACAAAGAGCTTGTAGTGGCAGAAATATATATATTTAAGCGCGACTTAAAATAGTGGCGTATAAGTATTTCGGCAAAAAACTTGTTAAAATTTTTGGGATTGAGAAGCTTTGATTCCATTTTTAAGCGGGAGTAAAAAACTGGCATGGAGCTAGAAAATAGTGATCGCCTGGAAAGCATTTAGAGGACCTGGAATTACTTTAGTAGTCGGCCTTCAGCAATCAGGAGGTTCAGTAAGAATATTGAAATCGAAATCTTGTCATCATAGAAAGTGTAATATCTAAATCGCATTTCAATGAGTTGAAAGGGGATAAAACTATATCATATTAAGTATCTATGTCAACAATTTCAATAACAATTGTATTTTGGACCTCCAATGGTCAGATCCTAATAATGGGACTAAGTAAAAGGGCAAATGGTTAACTGACTAATTGTCTGTATACAGGAGGCATTGCATAGCCTACTTCTTTAAAGAAATTAACATTGCATTATTGCATCATGTGTCCACATATATATTTACAGACTGCATGTATTTATTCAGGTAGGTACTAATAACCAACTGTAAAATTCAATAACGAGAACTTTATCACCTTGGCCATAGGGTAGAATTTAAATGTTATTTTATTAAAAAATTTGAGGTCACTTATGCTTAAATTTAAGTGTGTAGAGTTATGCTTAGAGTTCGGTATGAATGGGCCGGTTCGATCGAAGTGATACCACAGAAAACCGACGTGAAATAACGCTTGCTTTGTATTTCGTCGTATAATCCTCCCAAATCTCCCCAACAATCCTCAAATTACTAACCCCCATAAGGCCGGCAACGCATTTGTAACACCTCTAGTGTTTCGGGTGTCTATGGGCGGCACCGATTGCTTACCATCAGGTGATGCGTCTACGCGTTTACCGGTTTGTACCATTAAAAAAATATTTCAACGAGACACTCTGTCATTGTTAGCCATATATTAATATAGGACCTAGGTAAGACTAGGATAACTTCTTAAATAACAGAATTCGTATTGTTATCATCATCAACAGCCGACGTAGTTTACAGCTAGACTATGAGTATTATACACAAGGGGCAGGGCACTCGCCCAAAGGGTGGTTTTTTCTACCGATGCAGTAATATGCTGTCGCGTCACAGCGATACAGTGATACAATGCAATGCATCTATACATATAATAAAATTGTAGAAAAGTGCTGTCTGTACATTGAAAATAAAAATAAAAAAAATAGCAGGGGTTATTGTTATGTCGATGTCGAACCCAAAAATGTAATTAACTTTTTTTTTGTCTGTTTGTCTGTTTGTCTGTTTACGCTAATCTCAGAAACGGCTGATCCGAGTTGGATGCGGTTTTCACGAATATATTGTGGTATGCTTCAGTTATGCTTTAGTGTATGTTTCATGTCAATCGGTTCATAAATAAAAAAGTTATGTCAAATTAAAGAATCACGTCGTGAGTATATATTAAAAAAAAACGCTGCTCATAGTCACTATTCCACGCGAACGAAGTCGCAGGCACAGCTAGTTATAAATATAATTATGAGCTAGAAATGATGCTGTCGGACTTTTAGTGAACACGTGATAACACGCTATAAAATATCGTCATGGGCAAAGGGCCTTAAAGAGCCTAAGTACTCTACAAAATTTATTTTCTCAAAGACAGTTTTAAAATGTTGAGTTTTTTTTAATGGGACAAGCCCGCCACAACCTCCCAAAACCGCTGCAACTCCTGTAAGCCAGGATCTACAGTAGATACAACCATGAAAACACCGGAACATTGAAGTCCGGCGCGTCCCATTGTCATGAGTAACTGTCTTGGTTCCCGCAACGAAGTGAAAAAATGTTGAGATTGTCTAATTTTATTACAATGCTGATGTACTATTTTCTAAGTAAAATATAATTATTTCATCATATAACAACTTGTTTATGTTTTGACCTGCGTCACTACGATCTTGATTTAATGAAAATAAAGAAAAAAAATAATAATTGTTGTATTTTGTTTTATAAAACAATGCAATGTTATTATCTCAAATCTGGTAAACTACGCAATTATACATTTCAAAAATTTTTTTGAATAAAGTCTTATTTTTGTTTATGTACACTTCTTTGCAGATTGTATCTATTTATTTCTATTGTTTAATTTTAAAATACATAAAGATTATATTTTTAAAATTAAAAAATTGTAGAGGTAAATTATGTTCTTGTTCGTTGATCCCAGAATTATATTATCTTAGTTATGAAGCGCAAGAGATTACGTAATCGTTTAATGAACCCCTTTTTAAATATTTTTATTTTTTTATCTTAGCTACTTTACCTCAGAATTTTCTCCTGTGCACATATGTGAAGGGGTTTGTAAATATAAATGCATGCTTTATTTATAGTCTATATATATATTTTGTAAATCAAATTAAAAATATTCCGTAAAATCGAACCCTTACATTCGTAGCCACTGCGTAGCAGACTATCAAGTCATGACGTCACTTAATGACTGCACCAATTGGACAATTAAGACGGATTAATGCAAGCACCTTATAGGTGCCCCAATTTTTTTTTGGCGCCACCAGTGCCACCCCTATGGGCAGTTGGGCATGATGTACTTCGCACGGCGCCTCTCTATATATAACCTGGGGCCCTAGATCCCTGCCTTATTTACGCTATGAATGATTACGGCTCTGAGTCCAACAAAAATATCCAACATAAGTATTTTTCTAAGAAAGATCTTCTTCAGTCTACAATTATTTATTTTATTTTTAGCCATAGTCGTCCCACTGCAGGGCAAAGGCCTCCCTACCCTCCTTCCACTCGTCTCTTCTTTAAGCTTTCTGTGGCCAATCCTTTTCATATGCGTCAAGTTCATCCCGTCAGTCAGTCTACAATCTATACTAATATTATAAAGCTGAACTGTTTGTTTGTTTGTTTGAACGCGCTAATCTCCGAAACCACTGGTCCGATTTGAAAAATTATTTATGTGTTGGAAAGTCCATTTATTGAGGAAGGCTATAGGCTATAAAATATCACGCTACAGTTAATAGGCGCCAACCAGAGCGAGTGAAACCGCGCGGAAGTATAATTATCAATTTCTAAAGAAAAAATATCTCAATCTAACGAGACTTTCTCGAAATTTCACAATATTCAACTGTGCGCTTCTCACGTAGCTTTCTGCCTCGCACAGCGAAACTGTGGAATGATCTATCGTCGGCGGTATTTCCGAACCGATACGACCTTCAAACCTTCAAGAAAAGAGCGTATTCCTTTAAAAGGCCGGCAACGCAGCTGTGTCCCCTCTGGTGTTGCGAGTGTCCATGGGCGGCGCTGATGGCTTACCATCAGGTGATCCGTCTGCTCGTTTACCTCCCTATTCCATAAAAAAAACAATATTCAAACGTCTTGCAATATTTTTTTTTTGATGCCCGAACCGGGACTACGGGCAAGTATCTAGTATGTCGAAATTAAATGATAGTAGGTACCTCAATGTAGCCTTTATGAAAACTTGATATAAATACACACAGAAATACTACATTATGTATAGATTTCAAAATAATACATAAGTTGACATTTGACAATAAGCTTTATTACTACGCTCATAAATACCTATTTATTATATTATTGAATATTTTAAAGTACATTTTTAACATTGTATTGATTTAATAATAATTTAATATTATTTTATTTTAGTTATTAGTTAGTTATAATTATTCGTTGAAATTAATTATGTGTCGTAAATACAATACAAGTTATTTTAATTATACCTGGTATAGGCATTGTCGTGGTGGTCTAAGAGAATGAGAGTGCGGGTTCAAAACCTACCAAAAGCAAGCACCAATGTGACTTCTTCCAAGTTATATGTACTTTTGTTAACATTATTTAGATACCACTGACAAACGGTGAAGGAAACTATCGTGAGAAAACCTGGGCTTATAATTTCTAATTATAGGTTTGTAACCGCCAACCCGCATTGATCTAGCGTGGCGATTAATGCTCAAACCTTCTCCGTGTGAGAAGAGGCTTTGCTCAGCAGTGGCCACTTAAAGGCTGTTGATGGTAGGCGTCAATTTAATTGAAAACAAATATAATTATGTAGGATATTGTGCAACACAAACCCACCGGTTGTGAACCTAATGAAACCACTGACAGCACCCAGAAGGCTAAATAAGAAACTACCGCATGACCTAATATGACAGACTAGAGGACTGGTATCTAGACCATCTCTGTGCAAGACGTGACTAAATATCTAACAATAGGGTAGTTTCCTAAATTTTATTTTAATATCCGTCTGGTACATTAGTTTAAAACTTTAGATACGTATTTTTTCTTTTCTCACAAAATCAAATACTTTCGATGATATATTGATTTGAAATATCGTGTGACGTCACAGCGTGCCACATTTTGTAGCACGTTATGAAAAAATCGTTTATTCTTTACTGGTACCTTTAGGTATATGGATACAAATACGAGCCCTATCACTTATACAAATTCTTACCGACAACTTCATACATTATTAATTTCCTCTAATCATTTATCCGTCCAGGAGAAAGCAGCGTCACACCAGAGTACCAGGAGGCGTACCGGCGCTCCATCAATGATCCCGAAGGGTTCTGGGGCGAGGTAGCACAGGAGCTGGAGTGGACCAAACCCTGGGAGCGAGTGCTGGACAACAGTAATCCACCGTTCACAAAATGGTTTGTTCTATTTTGTATTCTTCTTGGCTATTTTCACTTTGGGAGAGTCAAGCATGGCACGAATGGGCCGGCTCAACGGGAGTCATACCACGGCTTCACAGAAATTTTACCTGAAACAATACTTGCGTTGTGTTTCGTCGTGAGAGTTAGGTTACCATTAAGCCCAATTACCCTGATAGTCCCTAATCGCCGAATCCCCAACAATTATAAAATTCCTGAACCCCAAAAGGCTGGCAACGCACTTGTAACACCCTCTGGTGTTTCGGGTGTCCATGGGCGGCGCTGATTGCTTACCATCAGGTGATCCGTCTGCTTGTTATATCCCATAAAAAAAAATTGGTGCCACTATTCAGAAGTGATCTATAAATTTGATACTGAATTGTCCTTTGTCCCGCAGGTGGGTAGGAGGAGAGATGTCAGTGTGTTACAACGCAGTAGACAGACACGTGGCTAATGGCAAAGGAGATCAGGTGGCACTAGTGCACGACTCACCTTTAACCGACACAGTGCGCAAGATCACATACTCTGAGATTAAAGATCAGGTTCGTAATTACTGGTTTAAGTGGAGGATATTATTTATTCGCTGCTCATGCAATGTCTTATAACTAAGTTGCAAGTTCGTTGGTCGTGGTAACAATAGTAATTGGAACTCCGGTTCCACTACAAGGGTTTTCAATTTTCACTGATAACATCGAGTTTGGAATAGCAAATTTTTACTCTTTTGGAGAAAAAATAGAAGACGACATGACTTCCATACTTAAGTTTAATACAATAATTCATAAGCAAAATAAAGATATATTTTATTTTAGGTCTCCCGTCTAGCTGGTAAGCTGGCATCACTGGGCGTGACGCGAGGGTCTCGGGTGCTGATCTATATGCCCCTCGTCCCTGAAGCCATCATCTCCATGCTAGCCACCAACAGATTGGGAGCCATCCATTCAGTCGTCTTTGGAGGTAGTTCTCATTTATTTATTTGTCAATATCTCCTGATAATCTTCTATGAATATAGTAACCGAGGCTCGAAACACTAAGACTGTTTCTATAAACTATTTTGATGAGAATAGTAGGTAGCGTAATGGTATTAACTTAATGTATCATTCAATTACCCAAATTGAATGATAATTATCATTATCAATCAATTTGGGTAATTGAATGACAATTATGTTAATATAGCACATGTTTTGTAAACAACAGGATTCGCAGCGCGAGAGTTGAGAACAAGAATAGAACATGCTGAGCCGACCGTGATCATTGCAGCCAGCTGCGGTGTGGAACCTAACAAAATTGTCAGGTAAAAATACAAAAGTTATTACACACATCTTTATTAAGTACTTAACTTACTACGAAGCTAGCTTAAACCTTTATAATGTCGCGGAGAACCTAACGGGTTACCGGGGCTCCGGCTCGACGTGGAGAAGGAACGGAAGGAACACTCCCTCCTGCCTCACCCAGGCAGGTGTGGCAGTCATTTGGTGATTTTCCCCCATTAAAAAAGCCTATTTGCGGATTAGGAATTTACCTAATGAAATACTGTTCATGCGATAACAGTCACCTAGTGTCTTCTATCTACTGTAACCTAGTAAAAACATATCTAATAACATTGTTATGATTTTCCCCCCTCAAAAAAACCTTTATAATAAAGAGATAAATAAGTCGTTTATAATCGTCTGAGTAAGAGGATCTTTCCCTAAATCTTCAGTCTCAATATAGGATCTTACGACCAACAAAATAAATAAACCGATAACTCTCAACATCTAGATATAAAGACATCCTGGACGAAGCGCTCTGTCAGTCAGACTTCCAACCGAACAACTGCATCATCTTCCAACGGCGAAGAGTTCTGGAGTGCACCCTAGAACCTGGGCGGGACATCAACTGGGAAGATGCCTTGGAAGCTGAGCCTGTACCCTGTGTACCCGTGGAGGCTAACGAACCGCTGTACATCTTGTATACTTCAGGTAAGCGACAGATGAAGAAAAACATAACATAACATTATATCACGCCTTGTGCACATTACGGTACTTAAATGTCACTGTACAATGTAACACCCACTTTTCACTATTTATGTTATGAGTCCCATGTAATAGGGGGTGAGCCTATTGCCATATACCGGGCACAATTCCAGACTCCGTTCTACTACCGAGATTTTGTTTAAAACCCATTTAAACTTTGCCCGTCCCGGGAATCGAACTCGAGACCCCTTGTTCGGCAGTCGCACTTGCCAACAGTATTTTATTAAACTCAAAACCAATTAAGAAGCGGGTACATGGTAAGATGGTGGTACTGCTTTATTAATTGTGTGGCGACGCATGCCACATGTCAACGGATGACGTCACAAAAATCCTACATCGCACATGCAAAGTTTACAAGCGAATAAACACGGATAGAAAATCCCAACGATCAACTGTTGGGCAGAAAGCCCGCCAGGCACAATCACCTCGCCTGGTCGGAGGATCCTCCTTTTCCGATCTTAGGGAACTATACTCTCTGTTCCCTAAAGTGGTGACCCCGACGTGATTGGAAGCAATCTTCACTTCACGGAGCTGATCAGCACCGTCATCCGTATCGCCATCCCTCTCATTCATCACTTCTCCGCTGAGCGGTAACCAAGTCGCAGCCAACCAGCATCCTCGGCCTCATCAGGGACCACCATTACCTGCAACGAAGTTGTGCAGCCTGGTTCTTCCCTACGGCCTCACCAGCGTCTAGGCACAGCACTTCTGCACACGGTCCGAAGGACACCTCCTCCCGTCAACGCAGATGCCGGCCACTACGCACCTACCCTCGCAGCATCTCTTCCCCGACTCACCGTGGGACACTGCGAACGCATCTCTCCGACTCACTGGAGTTTCACCCTGCACCGCTCACCCGACTCACTGGGCACTCAGCGGCACGGTTCCGACCCACTGGAACTAGGGACGTTCTACACTGGCTCTGGCGCCACTCATCTCAAGCATCGACAGCCGTCTCAGCGGGATCGACCTCCGGTCTTAGGAGGGAGTGATGTGGCGACGCATGCCACATGTCAACGGATGACGTCACAAAAATCCTACATCGCACATGCAAAGTTTACAAGCGAATAAACACGGATAGAAAATCCCAACGATCAACTGTTGGGCAGAAAGCCCGCCAGGCACAATCACCTCGCCTGGTCGGAGGATCCTCCTTTTCCGATCTTAGGGAACTATACTCTCTGTTCCCTAAAATTGTGATGAGTATAAAAAGGTGCAATTATCTAAAAATCGTGGGTTACTCACGTGAATATACTGTGAAAAGGTCTACTGCTGCTCATGAGGAAGAACCCTTCTGTGGTTCGAAACTAGTAGAGCTTTTCTCAGTATATTTACGTGAGTAACCCGCGATTTTTAGTTAATTTAGTATGTAGTATTTAGTAGTTATATAGTTATTTATATAGTTAGTTATATATAGTTATTATAAAAAACAGGTGCAATTATGTTCAAATGTTGAAGAAATAAGAATAAAATACGACATTGCCACGATGGACAACCGGACAGTTATTGAACCTTTATTAATCCATGGTTCGTTTATGTTCAAACTTGAATACCCACAAATTTATTAACTAGCCATTTGTGAAGTCAAGTACTGACAAATTACAATATAATTAAATTAATTAATTTTGAATAAACACTATAGATGACTAACCAATGTGAATTAATTTAGAAGGAAAGTCATCAGTGTGATGAACCAATTATTTGGATTACCGTTATTTTTTAATCAGTTATTGTTGATTCAGGTCTTCTCCGATCAATGCCTTATTATTTACAATTTTTTATGGACGAGCAGTTTGTTATCCACTATATTTGTTAAGAATGTACATTTTAATTTAGAACTTATATTGATTTTGGTCTGGCTAGGCTATTTTTAGACTTCAAGGTGGAAAATTCCTTTGGATGCTCCCGAGGACAACGTGTTAATCCATTTGTTGGTATACCGTAGTTCTATAAAAAACCACTCACATTTTGTTGTACCTACTACGTTTATCTGTGAGTTTTTTAACTGACTTAAAAAACAGGGGTCAGGAAGATTTTTCTTCCTCACTCCTGTCGATTGGGGGTATCGATTTTCACAATTCTTTTTGCATTCAACTGAATGGTATTGTTGTAAGGTCCCAGTTGGGTTCTTTCCTTAATCAAAAATAAACTATTTCGACTGTTCAATACAATAAGATATTAAAAAATAATCACACTTTCATTAGGGAATTGATTTTATGACCAACTTAATTTTAGTATTTTCCAGCATATTTTTAAAAAAACATAATCGACGTCACAATACATAATCTCGTACAATATTCATAGAAAACTGTCGTATTTTTCAGTTCGAAAAAAGTATTGAATTTAACTAGTTGGCAAGTACCCAGTTATTTGTCGAAAACTAAAACCCCTTTTTAACGCCTAACGTAAATAATCTTCTTCGTTATTATTAAAAATAGAATATAGATAATCCATACTGTATGCCACACTATTACAGTATAGTGGCGTCATAATAATTGACCAATCACGATTGCCCCCTGACCGTAACAGTACCTTCAGACGTACTGACTAACGTACAGGTGACATTCAACCACTGATTGTTATTTAATTGGAGCTCCGGCCTTAGACCCACTCATTATAATTAATTATTACTTTTACACAGGTCGCCATTGTTTAGTGGCGTGGCACTTTATATTGTTTTACAAATACGTGTGTATATTAAGAAAGTAGATGACAACTGACTAAGAAACTGTCTAACTATCAAAGTTTTTTGCGTGGTGAGAGTAGAGATTTTATGGCCGATGCTGTGTGATGACACAGATACTAGCTGTGGCCAGCGCCTTCGTTCGCATTATCGGGAAAAACGTAACGTAAACTATATTCTGTTCGTTCAGTATTAAATGAGGTGAAAGAATAACAAACATACATGAAATACAGTCTCGCAGTATTTTTTAAAATGTAAGGATAGTTTCTTTTAGTATCAACTTGAATTATTTTTATTCTCTTTTAAAAGGCTTCATGCACACACTAATGTACAAGGTGGGCTTAATGCCATGGTCATTGTCCTCTAGCCAGACCTTTGGATGATGCAGAGACAAAAACAATGGTCGATGCAAGAAGCAAGCGTATTCAAGAACAATGACTAAAATAAATACATAAAAAGAATAGTATAGACTTACATAAAATACACAGGTCAGAATTATCCCTTAGCACAAAGTAAAGCCTAGTAAAATAACTTCTTGTTATTCCCATCTAGTCAATAGCTCTAACCATATACTATACCCCCAGCATCACCATCACCTAATTTTCATTTGCACCTAAACATATACTTTTTTAATAGCATGTCAATAACTTATTTACTTTTCTCCCATTCCCAGGGACAACAAGCGCCCCCAAAGGTATTCAGCGCCCATGTGGACACGCTGCCGTCCTCTGCTGGACTTTAAAAACAGTCTACGGCCTCAAGAAAGGAGTTTGGTGGGCAGCCTCCGACCTCGGATGGGTGGTCGGTCATTCCTACATCTGCTACGGACCCCTTCTTGCAGGAGTCACCTCTGTGCTGTATGAGGGCAAACCTGATCGAACTCCTGACCCTGGACAGTACTTTAGGTAAGAATTTTTAAGATGCATAGTTTTTGGGTTTAGGGTACTGGTTTTTTTATGGAAGAGGACTTAGGAGGCAAATAAATGAGCAGACGGATCAGCGCCGCCTATAAACAAAGGGCGTTGCCGGCCTTTTAAAAAGGCAAGCAAAGCCTCTCGCTTTTAAGTATCTCAAAGCATTGCTATGTTGTTATTAAATTCCTATCTTCATGTTTTCCCCAGGATCATAGAACAGCACCGTGTGAACGCCCTCTTCACGATCCCCACAGCATTTAGAGTGCTGAAGCGAGCTGATCCCAACGCGAAGTACGCCAGGAGATACTGCAGCAAGTCCTTGAAGACTGTCTTCATCGCTGGAGAGCATTGTGATCAGGATACCAGGGTGAGTTTGAGTTTGAAATTAAATGAGGGGTAGAAGAATGGGTACAGCCAATCTTTCATCATCATCATCATTATCAGCCATTGGACGTCCATTGCTGAACATTGGGCTCCCCCAATTACTTCCAGATAGGCCGGTTGATTCAACCAATCTTTGCACTGCGTCAATTTTATATTGACCTATAAAAATCATTAAGTCGTCGGTATGAACTAGGCTATTCTGTAAGATGTCAATTCGAACTACCGAAGTGAGCTAGATCGCGTTCGGCAAAGTAATTGGGTAATTACTTGCCTTAATCAAAAATAAATTATTTCGACTGCCCAATACAATACAATATAAATAAAATATCACACTTTCATTAATTGATTTTATAACCAACTTAATTTTAGTGTTTCTTCAGCAAGTTTTTAAGAAATAAGTATGACGTTAAAAAAACGTGACGTCACAATCACACCAAACAATCTCGTACAAAATTCATAGGAAACTGTCGTTTTTGACAGTTCAAAAAAAAGTATTGAATTTGACTAGTTGGAAAGTACCTAATGGGATGTGAGAATAATCTCGACAAATGACAGGCGAGAATGTAATCGAGTTCACATCCATAGTTCGAATTGACATTTTAGAGAACAGCTTAGCAATTGTTAAGAATACGAACATCGTCAGAAGTCGTTACAAATTGAGAAACTGTGCTTAACCTGTGCGGATTGTAATGATGTTAAAAAAGATAGATGTTTCCTGAATTTCGCAAACCTCAAAACAATATCGGCAAATAAAATCCATAGATGAGACATTTGAGACTGCCTCGTTGGCCGAGTGGTCGCAATTGCGACTGCCGATCAAGGGGTCTCGGGTTCGATTCCCGGATCGAGCAAAGTATTACTGGGTTTTTAAAAAATTCTCAGTAGTAGCACGGAGTCTGGAACTGTGCCCGGTATATGGCAATAGGCTCACCCCCTATTACATGGGACTCATAACATAAATAGTGAAAAGTGGGTGTTACATTGTGGAGTGGTATAATGTGCACCTCTGCCTACCCCTTCGAGGATAAAAGGCGTGATGTTATGTTATGTTATGCGACGTTTCTAGAAGTAAGAAACGAGGTGAATGTCTTCGTGTTACAAAAGGAGCAGGAGTCACGAGTAGAAACTAAAAAGTAGACAATAAATAACGTATATAACAGTATGTTAAACAAAGTAAATTAAAACATTCATTGTCATGTGTAAGAATAATATTGACCTGAGACGGGACCTCAGTTCGATGCCGGCGTAACGTACCAACGTAATGGTAATTAACACAAAATGTTAATTCAAGTCGAGAAAGGCATAGAATAAGTGGTAAAAATAGATGATATACTTCTTTTTATGAGTCGTGGTGGCTCGGAGGTTTAAGACGCCTGCTTCTCATGCATGAGGGTGCGGGTTCGAAACCTACCAACGGCAAGTACCAATGTGACTTTTTCCGAGTTATATGTACTTTCTAAGATTATTTAGACACCACTGACAAACCTCGGCTTATAATTTCTAATTATAAGTTTGAAATCGCCAACCCGCATTGAGCAAGCGTGGTGATTAATGCTCTAACCTTCTCCGTGTGAGAAGAGCCTTTGCTCAGCAGTGGGCATTTATAGGCTGTTGATGATGACTTATTTTTATGAAATAAAATAATTTTTAAATTAGGGTTTAAGAACTTGGTAGACTTGTTTTTAAATGTTGGAAGGTCTCAAATCAAACTGACCAGACCTTGTGTTTATGACGTAAAAACAGAAACAGAATTAGCATTTTTAGTAATACCTAGTAAATACTATTCTAATGCTACTATAGCCTTCTATTTATTGAAATGGGTCGTTTATGTGACAGTTTTATTTATAAGACTGCCTCGTTGGCCCAGTCGTCGGAAGTGCGACTGCAAGGCAAGAGGTATCGCCTTCGATTCTCGGGCAAAGTATTACTGGGTTTCTAAAAGAGAATTCTCAGTAGTAGCACGGAGTCTCTAATGTGTCCGGTATATGTCAATAGGTTCAACCCCGACATGGGACTCAACTAACATAATAGTGAAATGTGGGCGTTACATTGTGCAGTGCCTATCCCTTCGGGGATAAAAGGAGGCGTGATGTTATGTTATGTTTCATTTACTAGATTTTCGCTAGTTGAAAGGAACGTTTTACCACACCTGGTTAAAGTAAGACTCAGTGCCAACTTTACTTACTTAAGTAGAAAAAGATCACATGTGTGTACAATATTGGACATTGGATATGTATCAGAGCAATGTAAAACAGACTTTTTTTAAAAGAGTAACGAATGGAGTTTCTTGCTCGTTCTTCTCCACTCGAATCGACATTTTGGAACGAGCGCCTAGCTTCACTGACGGACAGACTGACAGACTATTATTTACCTATTTCATATTTGTTGATGTTTCAAAAGTACCAAATTATGGTTTAATTGAAATAAATGCTTTTGAGTTTGAGTTTGAGTGCGCAGAAATCCACAAAATCACTGGCGACATTTGACGTCCGTTATGTTGCAGCACATTGTTGCCCACCACAATGTTGCAGAACATATTTAGCGTCCTATTTTGCGCATTAAAAGTTGCCTAGTGGATACACCTTCGATATAAAATAAAACCTTATTAACAAAGTCAAAGCATTTATTTCAATTAAACCATAATTTGGTACTTTTGAAACGTCAACAAATACAAAATAAATAATAGTCTGTCAGTCAGTCCGTTAGAGAATCTAGGTGAAGCTAGGTGCTCATTCCAAAATGTATATGCGAATGGAGAAGAACGAGCAAGAACCTCCATTCGTTACTCTTTTTAAAAAACCTCTTTTATGTCCTCCAGCAATGGTCGGAGCGTATATTCGGAGTACCAGTACTGAACCACTGGTGGCAGACGGAGTCAGGGTCTCCCATCACTGCGCCTTGCATGGGGTACAATGTGAAGGCTATTCCACCACATTCAGCTGGTTACCCCGTGCCTGGATACGATCGTAAGTATCAATATCATGTGTTATTCTTCAAAAGGGAAACAGATATGTCTAATATATGTATGCATAGGTATTAGGTACCTACATATTTCGCCATTATCATATTGGTAATACCTAGAGTAATCGATACCATATGGGTATCGACTACCACCTACCTAACCTGGGTGTCTTCAAGGCCCGAGTAAATATGTTGCTTATGGGGTGAAATGCTCCCTGGTAGACCGCATCATCGCTTACCACCAGGCAAGATAGTGGTCAAACATCGGCACATCAAATATAAAAAAAACCTTTCCGAGGGTTTCGTGAAAGCCGACTATGGGAAAACAAACGTTTTCTGATACACTTGAACCTCTGAAACTGCGATCTTCAAAAGCTAAACCACCTTTACAGGCTCAAAAACCTGGCATACAAAGGTCTTGATGGGGGAACATCATATAATGACTTCTCACGCCTTGGGTTAGGCGAGAGGGAGTGCCAGACTCTTACTGACCAAAACCACCCTGTTCCTTTTGTATCTCTACTACAAACTACTGATTAGTTAAAAAAAGATACAATAAAATCCTCATAAGTAGAGGAGGCTCATAGTCATAGAATTGTCACGGGAATTTGATAGTGGTGAACATGGTAATGGTAGGTTACCTCTCTCTCATCATCAATGGGTAATTCTGATTACATTTTGTAACATTCTAATTTTGTAGTTCTAGTTGTCAATCGTAACCGTTGCAATATATTTCCAGTACATGCCCTAAAAGAAGACGGATCAGAATGCCAGCCCGGTGAGGTCGGCAGACTAGTGGCTAAGCTACCTCTGCCTCCAGGCTTCGCATCAACTCTGTGGCAAGCTGACAAGCGATTCAAAGAAACCTACTTTGAAACATACCCTGTAAGAATTCCTTTGTAATATTTTTTTTTTAAATAAAACGTTGCCCCACACTAGGATTTTCTCCTGTATCGTGGGTGCGTTTACAAACATACAAGTTCACATACACATCACACCCAGACCCGAAACAACAATTTGTGGATCACACAAAGTGTTGTTCCGTGCGGGAATCGAACCCGAGACACGTTGCACAGCAGCCGGTTGCCCACCACACCAACCGTGCAGTCAAATATAATTTCATGATGAGGAGTAGATACTTGCTCATAAATTAATAGGGGCAAACTTATTACAAAATGATATATGTATAAATATAAAGGATTTAAACGTTAAGCCAGTTGTATGTAATAGCCTCATGTGGCTAAAGAAGATTCGTCTACACGTCCAATTAAATCTTACCCGGTACGAAAATCGAACCCGAAGTAATTAGATCGACAATAAATGCTCTTGTAATCACATGACCTGCTATATGTCATACTGGCGACATTTTCGACTGGTAAATTTCCTTTGTATCACGAAAATAATTGTTTTGCAATTGTAATTATAACGCTTAATTTGTGAGTAAAATTTTCGACTACGTATTGTACAGCGTCGGTTGATTGATCGATGAAGGACAGAATAGTCCTTATGATATATCCGTATGATATGTCGTATTACCCACGTTAACACATTATACAGTCGTCACTTAATAATATCTAGATGGCGCTTCTAATATCCGTTATTAATAACATAACATCACGCCTTTTATCCCCGGAGGGGTAGGCAGAGGTGCACATTGTGGCGCTTAATGCCACTGTACATACAATGTAACACCCACTTTTCATTATGAATGTTATGAGTCCCATGTAATAGGGGGTGAGCCTATTGCCATTACTGAGATTTTAAAAAAATCTAATAATACTTTGTCCCACCCGGGAATCAAACCCGAGACCCCTTGCCAACAAGTTTAGAAGACCGAACTGTTTGACGGGAATCTTTAGAACAACAAATTACTATCTTAGAATAATGATTATTACCTAGGTGAAAAAAATTACCTACCTAAAATGGATTCTCTCTGGGTTACCACACGAGTTATTTTTAAATTTCTCTGACAATACTTTAAAAATAATATTTTTTGCACAGGGATACTACGACACCCAAGATGCAGGCTGGATAAGCGCTGAAGGAGCTGTGTGGGTAGTGGCCAGAGCTGATGACGTCATCAATGTCGCCGGTCACCGTTTGTCCACTGCTGCCCTTGAAGACGTGGTCCTAAGACACGCCAGGGTTGCTGATGCTGTAGTGGTTGGAGCACCAGATCCCACGAAAGGAGATGTACCTCTATGTCTCTATGTTATGAGGCCTCCTCAAGATGGTAGGTTATTTGATGAAACCCTTGAATAAAGTACCTATACTTAGCTGATAAGCTGAATGGGTTAGGATACCGATACTAAAGTTTCCTAGACAAATGAAATTGGTACTTGTTTTTAAGTGGAAAATTGTCAAAAAGCGTATGATTGATTGATTGCCATAAGCTAATTCAAAGTTATAATTTACAGATGAAGAAATCGTAGCTGAAAGCACAGTGACTCAAGAGCTGATCGCGTTAGTTCGACACTTGATTGGACCTATCGCTGCATTCAGGAAGGCAGTCGCTGTTCCCGCATTACCTAGGACCAGGTCTGGAAAAGCCCTTCGTGGTGCCATCGCTAAACTAGCCAGGTCTCAACTTGTAAAGCTACCATCAACCATTGAAGATCCTTCCGTATTCGGTGAAATTAAAATCGCTCTGCAAAAATTCGGCTACGCCATAGACGCGCCAGACCCAGAAATGTAAATAAATAGTAAATAAATAATATTATATTTAGAGAATACGCAGAGATGAACTACCTAGCAAGTTAATTTTTATCTTTATTTTAGATAAGTTTTTAGTTTTAGTTATTTCAATATTTTGAAGGTGGCCTATCATCCAACCTTTGGTTTACTGATGGTTTACTATCAAGAAAAGTACGTTTTATATTTTGAGACTCATTCGGACTATTCGAATAAAAAAACAAACGTATTTTGCTTGTGTTGCCACTGTGATAGAAAGCTAGAAGTAGCTTTTTATTTTAAATGTACTTAAATTATGTATTTTGATTAAATATTTGATTATAAATACCAAAACATTGCTTAATCGTAAAATAAGTATAGTTTATGTATTCTTTTATGATTGAGCACTTTAGGGTGGTAATTTTTCTGATAATGATTTGGAATTTTTCAATACAAAGGATTGAAATCTTTTATAAATAAATTCATATAGTTACCTACATTAGGTAGATACCTAATGTCTAGAGGGACATACTAGACCCTAGATAACTCTTCGTTTTATATTTAAATGAGCTATGTATTTCATAGCACATATTTTCCTAAGCGGAATGCGCCTAAATTAATTTATTTTAATGAATATTAAATTATTTTAGGTAGAAACTTGTACTGATAAGAAAACAACAAAAGAAAACTTAAATAGAAAGAGGAAATAAATATTATTATTTATGTATGTAGTTCATTTTAATCATTCAACAGTTTCAAATGAATTTCTAACATTTAAATTAAAAGTAAAACACTAAATGATGAAAATTTAATCTATTAGAAGTATTAAGAATATATATTTTTTTGTAAATTGCACAATTTTTGACGTTATCAATTTCTTTATCTGGTATGTAGGTAGTATAATAACCTGCATAATGTATGTACAAGTTTGCAATTTGCGACATTTGTATGGGTGATGTTATTTTAGATTAGTACATAAAATTAAAACTAATTAAGCATATATTTTTATTATTAAAATGAGTATTTTAAAATAATAAAATGTCAAACATGATTAGTTTTTTATTAACGTTGAATATTTTTCCCAAATTACAATTTGTGTTTTAAATCTACAGATGAGTGAATCATCAATCGTAAGAGCAAATATACTATTTTAGTAAAAACTGAAAATAAAAAGAAACAACTAAAAAGGACAAATTTGTACTTATTTTACTTTTTTTATATTTAATGGGTTAATTTACATGGCAACATTCTAAACGTCAGTTAGACAGTTGACTAGTTGTCAACGTCAAAACGATTTACGAGTGACGCATCGCGGGGTATCGCCCTACTTGTTTCGCAAAATAAATCGAAATAATAACCATCTGGCATATTTTAATTATTAATAGAATTGTAACTAAACATTGCCTGTTTAACATTAATAGTAATTTTTGTAGTTGGAATGTCCTCACTTTGTCAGTGAGAAGTGAAACTGCCTTTACGTGTAATTAAAAAACCGGCTTCGAAAGGTAAGATTTCACTTTCTTTTAGCGTGAATTTTCTCTTGTAAATAAATACACGAAACGATGTTCGTTTTTGTTGGAGAGTTGACAAAAAATTATGATAGATACAGCGATTTATGTTATAATATTAGTTAGCGTGTGAGTGTTATTGTGTACTCAGTTATAGCTTGCTCTGCGACTACGCTACGTAGAATTATACCTTTGTATACTATCGTACGTCAAGATAATAATAGATATCGCGATAACTTCATTCTGTAAAGGTAGTTAGAGTGATATAATCAATAATTCCAACATGGTAAGTGAGTCATGACACCCATTTAACCAAATTCTTATAAAACCAGAAAACAATTGCATTGTTAGCAGTGTTTACAAATCTCTACATAACTTATTCATTTCTTTTTATTGTATGCATAAATTTCAATGACTCAGATAGTCTGTATGTTGATTAGTATAAGGTTGCAAATTAGATGTTGAACTTTTGTTTATTTTAGTATGCATAAAAAAGTAAATTATTTCGTTTACAGAAATTGTAGCTAGCAATTGCTATTTTACATTTCTTTTATAAGTTTCTTTTTAAAATAATGTAATTAAGTGAATGAGGAAAAAAGTATTTTGACAATCCTAATCAATTTCGAGCAAGTAAGAAAGATAACACTTATATTCAATGGCTATTGTATTTTAAATACAATTCAGATTGATGTCATTCAAATCTATAATAGTTTTAAGAAAATTTTAATTGTGTCTTTAGTATCATTGTCAAGTGGTTGTTAGTGCAACTGTAAAAGCATTGAAAATGAGGTGGAAAGTAAAATTGGTAACTATAAAATTTAACTCTTTGACTACTAGTTCAAAGCTAATCTATTGGATAGCGCTCATAATATTTGGGACTTACCTATGTTACTATTGAAAACTATGTGCTCCATAAGTGCTACTACAATTATAAATTCTTATTAAGTGCTAACTGTTCTAGTTCAAAATGTTTATAATTTATTTAGGTCGGTCAAATGTAAGTTAAATAATAAATAAATAAAAATAAAAAAGCTTTATATGTATAACACAATTTTTTAAAAAGATTACGTTTCCAAAATATGTTTTTTATATTGAAAGGCTTAGTTTAAGGCCCCCCTGTGGTGAAGGTCTTCTCCAGAGAATGCCATCTTTATCGATATTTTGCTGTATCTAGCCAGCATACTTGTTAGTTAGTTGTGGTCAAGTACTCAAACGAAACACAGTGTTAAAATGCTTTCAACAATAGTTCTGTCTCTGCAAATTCTTTATAAAATGACAGAGATAGCATGATATTTAACCCGTTGGAAATTGTTGAAAATCATCCCCTAAATTTGTTCATACAAAAGTAGTCTCTAAGCATTGGAAATAAGGTCTATAATGTAGTTAGTGGAGAGCGGTCATCGGTGAAATATGGGTTAATTCCAACTTTCGGGCATTTTACACTTTGTGCTATTTATTTGAGGAAACTTTGTAAGGAAAATGAACCACTCAGGAATATAAATGTGTTGTGTTTTATTTACGACTTCTGTGGCTGATAGGATGAAGATAGTTGTATTATTTAAACTGTCAAACACCAAGCGGTCACTGGTGACCGCAACCTATTGTTCTTTAATTGTGTCTATAAAACTGGTACTCGACGAGTTAAATCATATTATTCATGATTGTAGATGTGGAAAGCAGCAACGGACGTTGCTCCCCCAGCGATGCCTGAGGCGGATGATTGGGAGACAGACCCAGACTTCGTGAATGATGTCACGGAACATGAACAACGATGGGGACCGGGAGGACGAAATGTGGAGGCTATCGAGTGAGTATTACAATTCAATATTCAATGTCAATAAACTTTATTATTATTATTATTATTTCAGGGTATTCCCTTATTCTCGAAATTATAACAATTTCGGTAATTATGAGGTTCACGGGCCTAAACCAAGTGAACCTCATGGGGTACTTGTTCGGTGGTTTCTTCTTGCAAAAACTTCCTGACAATACGACATGTGTTCAGTATTGCGGCTTTCTGCATTGTTGTGTATATGTTTTTATGAAGATCTAGTAGTTGGATACCGTGATGTAAATTTTTAGGAATGACTCCCGTACTGGAGAGTACCAATGGCACAATATATACTTTATTCATTTTCCAGATTCTAAGTATTTCTTCTTTAAGCTCTGTATATTTATGTATCTTCTCTGTTATTGTTTTCTGTAAATTGTGGGTATTTGGGATGGCTATATCGGTAATATATACTACTTTATTAACTTTATCAATTAAGGTAATATCTGGTCTGTTATTGTGTACAGTTTTATCAGTCAATATGGCTCTGTCAAAGTATAGTGTGTGATTTGGACCCTCCAGTACGGGTTTTGGGGTATATTGATAGTATGGGACAGTAGGCTCTGTTAAAAGTTTGTGTTTCATGGCAAGCTGTTGATGGATGATATGTGCAACTTGGTTATGTCGATGAGTATAATCAGTTTGGGTGAGGGTTGGACAAGCGCTTGTGATGTGTTGAATAGTTTCAGACTGTCGGTGGCATTTTCTACATTTATCGTTTTGAGTGTTAGGGTCTTTCAATATAAATTTCCTATAGTTTTTTGTATTTATGACTTGGTCCTGGATTGCAATCATGAAACCTTCAGTTTCAGGGAATAGTGAACCTATTTTGAGCCACTTGTTGGAAGCTTCAGGGTCTACATGAGGTTGTTCTAAATCGTGGATATGTCGCCCATGTAATTCTTTCGCGCGCCATCTATCTATTTTTACCTTTTGGTGATCTTTAACTGAGTTGAAATGTAAGTCTTTGTTGTTTAAATTTAAAGGTGTATAATTATTGTCTATGTTTGTGACTGCTTCATGAATTTTACTATTCGTAGTTTTTTCATAGAAAAACTTTCTTAATGATTGTATCTGCTGCTCCCACAATAGCTTTAAATCAACTAGACCTCTTCCACCGTTTTGGCGTTTTACTGAAATTCTTTCAATTGCAGACTTAGGGTGTAAATAATTATTTTTAGTTAGGGTTGTCCGGATTTTTATTTCAAGTTTGTTAATGTCCGTTTTTGTCCATTTAATGATTCCAAAGGTATAGGTTAACACGGGTATGGCGAATGTATTGATGGCTTTGATTAGGTTTTTAGAATACAACTGTTTATTGCAAATTAGGTTTAATCTACGTGTAAATTCTCCTATAAGTTGGTTTTTTATCTGTATGTGGTTTATAACATTAGATTGATGTATTCCTAAGTATTTATAAGTGTCAGAAGTTCCCATTTCCTCAAACGTGTTGTTCTGTTCAGCTATATTCTCTGTCGTTGTACTATTTTTTAGTTTTCCCTGTTGTATATGTAGTCTTCGGCACTTATCCAGCCCAAACTCCATTTTTATGTCTTTACTAAACTTTGTTGTAATATTAATTAGAGATTGTAAGTCGTTTCGTGATTTTCCAAAAATTTTTATGTCGTCCATATATAATAAATGAGTTATAGCTGTATCATTAGTTAATTTGTATCCGGCGTTTGAGTAGTTGAGGAGATAGGAAAGCGGATTAAGGGCCAGACAGAACCATAAGGGACTCAGTGTGTCCCCTTGGAAAATACCATTTTGAATGGGTATTTCATCCGTTGTTATAGAAGAGTTATTGTTGGAAAGATGAAGGGCAGTTCTCCAGTCTAACATAGCGTTTCGTAAAAACGATATAATATTCGGGTGTATTTTATATATTTGCAAAACTTTGATAAGCCAAGAGTGGGGTACACTATCAAATGCTTTTCTGTAATCTATATAAGCAATGTGCAGGTTACGTTTATTTAATTGAGCTTGTTTAAGAACTATAGCATCGATAGTAAGCTGCTCCTTACATCCCTTATGATTCTGCCTGCAACCCTTTTGTTCTTCTGATAAGATGTTGTGTACTGTGATGTGATTATTGATTTTAAATGCAATACAAGATGTTATTAACTTATATATAGTTGGCAAACAGGTTATAGGTCGATATTGTGATGGATTTGTAGTGTTATCGCTTTTCGGCAACATGTATGTAATTCCCTTCGTAATAAATTTAGGTAGTTCTTGTTGTCCTTTAATAAGGTCTGTGATAATTCTAGCTATTGTGCTATGTAAACTGAGAAATTTTTTGTACCAGAAGTTGTGCACACTATCTATTCCCGCCGCTTTCCAGTTTTTCATTTTTTTTTTATTTTATCCTATGTCCTCTGTTGTTATGTCACTAAATTCCATCGGCTCTATATCGCTTACCCTATTCTCTTCATCATTTATCCAATGAGCTTGTTCGTTATGGTCTCCCTTGTTTTCCCATATTTGAGACCAGTAATTTGTAAGGTCGCTCTGTGTAGGTAAATCATTTAATGGTTGAACGGAAACTTGTCTAAAAGATCTGTAGAAACTTTTCTCGTTATTGGAAAATAGTTTATTATCCTGTTTTCTCTGTAATGCTTTAACATATCTAGCTAGTCTTTGAGATTTTAATGCTAATTTTTGCTTTAAGGTGTCTAAAAATTCATTCGGTCTAATATTGTTTCTTTCGTGTGATGAGTGAACTTTATTTTTACTACATATTTCTTCTACTTTTTGAACTAGCCTATTTGACCTGTTGCCATTTATATATTGAGTAAGTCTACCTATGTTTGCCCTAAGTTTCTGAATATCTAATTCAATTCTAATTTGCCAGTTTGGTTTGTGTGATTTTTTATATTTTATACTATGTTCTTTATCTCTTATATTGTATCCTAATTTTTCACTTATTACTAATGCGCTACAGTAAATAAGCGTGTGAACTGTGCTTATGTCAGAATCTATGGAACAATATCGGTTTAATATATATTTATTGAAAATTTCGACATATTTATAAAGGGTTTTGTTTTCTTTTATTCTAGGTAGCTTTGGGCGAGCTGTGGGATCAGTACCTTGATATTTTGTAAGAGCTGCTTCTAGCGCGTTTAACAGTTCGTGCGTGTCTGTGTCATTATTTGTTTCTACAATACCTCTTTCCGGATTAGACTGTTGTGCCTCCATAGACGTGTTCGAGAGATTTGTTTGAGTTGATGCATGGGATTGCGTGTGTAAATAATGTGAGGTGATGGAGTGTGTTTCTAAAGAATGTGAGATGATGGGTGGGTCTGATGTTGTATGTAATGAAGTTGTTGAAGCTTGTGTGAGTTCTAGTTGATCAACATAGTGTTGATTTGTTGAATTTAATGTCAATATATTGAGATTGTTACTATTTGTTTCTTCAGCAAGCTGGGTGGCTATTTCACTTTTAATGGTATTTATTGTTTCGTCAGATAAAAGTTTATTTCTTATTATTACTCTTCGTTGGTCGGCAATTCTTTGTGCAGAAACGTTTAATTCTGGGTATTTCGAGGTAAAACGGTCATGAAGTTTTTTGCAATACATAGTTCTATCTGTTTCTAGTTTGGTAACATAATAATATGTGCGCATGATAAATAGGTTTATTTCTTCGCTCCATTTCATGCGCACTCTGGGTTTACCAGCTTTGGTGGTCGCAGGTTGAGTGGCAAGTGCCTCCTGCGAAACATCCTCAGCTGGTGTGGTTGCTCTACTACTATTACTATCTGAAAGCTCGGCTGTAGTCCTTGAGGACATTCCCCTACCCCCCGCGTCCCCGACTCCCACCCAGCCGTCCAGCCGGGAGTCACTGGCTAGCATGCTGTCACGCCTGACACCAGCTACAGACGTGCCCCGACGATCCTCGGGCAGCGGCCCTAAACGTAATCTTTTATTTCTTGTCTCCATATTGATGGGTTACCTTTACCTTGTTAGCCGTATAAGTTTCAATTGTATACGTGTCCGCCCCCCACGTGGTTAGATGTTCAACCAGGACGTAAGGTAGGATTTTAGGGGGCTTATTATTATTATTATTATTATGTATGTCTTTACCATTCACGGGACCACAGGGTCCCGGTCATTTGGGAGGCGTACGAGGGGCCGAAGCCAACTGCGCAGAGGCCCTTTAGACAACTATAATATAAATGTAATGGACACACAAACCGGCGACTATCCCTGTATGCACTATGGAAATGCACCCAAGGACAGTCCCCGGTTAGTGTAGGACTATTGTGAATAATGGAAAAAAAAAGGTAGGGCTATGGATGGGTTGTTGTGGACTGGTAAATTGGGAACTATGGATGACTATGACACCTGCCGAAACAATGTAATTTTTACACGTAAAAATGGCAGGCGGAGACTCGCCAACTCACCGACCGGGCCCCGGGAATGGTTGCTAGATATAGCAACAGAGGGGCAACGAGAATGTGAGTGGCTGAAGGGTTAAGAAACTACCACCGCTTTCTACTCAGATCATCTGCTCCAGCCGAAGCCTCCTGCATCCCTGGCCCACTCGCGACTTACGAATAGTTTCTTACCCTCCGAGCAGGTTCACTGCTCTCGCGACTCCACTCTGGACGGCCAATGAAGGCAAGCCAGAGGTGGGAGACCTGTTCCTTGTCATCTTTCACTCCAGCCAGCCAATTAAGGCAAGCCGGAGAAGAAGGAACGGTGACTTCTCCCTGGAGCACTCGGGATGATGGTAGCCCGCGGGATCGCTAATGCCCGTCACCTCGCCTCAAGGTGCCCTGCGGGCTTATTATTATTATAAATTTACACGGGACCACAGGGTCCCGGTCATTTGGGAGGCGTACGAGGGGCCGAAGCCAACTGCGCAGAGGCCCTTTAGACAACTTTAATATAAATGTAATGGACACACAAACCGGCGACTATCCCTGTATGCACTATGGAAATGCACCCAAGGACAGTCCCCGGTTGGTGTAGGACTATTGTGAATAATGGAAAAAAATAAATAAAAAAGGTAGGGCTATGGATGGGTTTCTGTGGACTGGTAAATTGGGGACTATGGATGACTATGACACCTGCCGAAACAATGTAATTTTTACACGTAAAAATGGCAGGCGGAGACTCGCCAACTCACCGACCGGGCCCCGGGAATGGTTGCTAGATATAGCAACAGAGGGGCAACGAGAATGTGAGTGGCTGAAGGGTTAAGCAACTACCACCGCTTTCTACTCAGATCATCTGCTCCAGCCGAAGCCTCCTGCATCCCTGGCCCACTCGCGACTTACGAATAGTTTCTTACCCTCCGAGCAGGATCACTGCTCTCGCGACTCCACTCTAGACGGCCAATGAAGGCAAGCCAGAGGTGGGAGACCTGTTCCTTGTCATCTTTCACTCCAGCCAGCCAATTAAGGCAAGCCGGAGAAGAAGGAACGGTGACTTCTCCCTGGAGCACTCGGGATGATGGTAGCCCGCGGGATCGCTAATGCCCGTCACCTCGCCTCAAGGTGCCCTGCGGGCTATTATTATTATTATTATTATTTATTTAATTCAGACAGGCAGTTGAAACAACTGATAAATGCCTGTATCGTATTTTTCTATCAGTGGTTATTCAATGTTGTGTATCTGTCAAGCCTGTTTTTGAACTGGTTAACATTTTGTGCAGCGATTACATATTCTGGCAGCTTGTTCCATGCTCCGACCACGCGATTACTCAGAAAGTGTCTGTGAGGAATATTTTTCGATAAGCTTTTACACAGCTTAAGGTGGTGGCCTCTAAGATGAACGTTTTTATTACGTGAGAACATTTGGTTGAAATCAGTAATGTCATAATGTCCACTCAAGATCTTGTATGTCTCAATTAGGTCTCCACGCTGCCTGCGATCCTTCAATGTGGTACTTGTTGAGTAATAAACAATTTCTGTTACAATTATTTTGAATTTTCTGTCTATGAGATTATAATTCATTTTTAGTTATTTGTGTTTGCAAAAGTTGAATTATAATTTAAAGAACAAAAATCGTGGTTAACTGATGTTTTGACATTGTATACAGAAGTGCTGCCTGATCAATATTCTAAATGCAAAGTTGAGTTTGTTTATGTAAATACATTTTTGCATAAAATCCTGATTCAATTTTGGTAAATAAATGTATGATGTGGCACTTTTAAAAAAAGACAACTATTACTTACACTACAGAATTGGGTGATATTCATTTGAATAAACATATCTATGTTTTTAATTGCAAACAGTTTTTACGTAATGCACACATTTTAATGTTAGTTGCAGGATATAATTCATATATCAAGTATTGTCCCATAAATATTTTCCTCAACTAAAATTAGTTTCGAGTTTAGGGAAATCATAATAAATGGTATTTGTACTATTGTTACTCATTTATTTACTATGTTACGTCCAGTTTCTATAACCTATCTATCTATAGATTTGCTTACTAGAGATAGAATTTTGACACATTTTGTATGGAGCTCATGTCAAAATGCTATCTCTAGTAAGCAATCTACAGATAGATAAGTTAAACTGGACGTTAGTGGCACGCCCGGCTTCTTGTGATATTTCTCGGCTTCCCAGTCAAACAGGCTAATAATAATTTTATCTTTACATCAATGAACACTTAAAACTGACTGTCTCGTTGACCGAGTGGTCGTAAGTGCGACTGCCGGGCAAGGGGTCTCGGGTTCAATTCTCGGGTCGGGCAAAGTATGACAGGGTTTTTTAAATATTCTCAGTAGTAGCACGGAGTCTGGAATTGTGCTCAGTATATGGCAATAGGCTCACCCCCTTAGGCCCCTATTACATGGGACTTATAACATAAATAGTGAAAAGTGGGTGTTATATTGTACAGTGGTATTATGTGCACCTCTGCCGGGGATAAAAGGCGTGATGTTATGTTTATGTGTTATTATGAACACTTAAAAATACATTCACACAAAGCTTACGTGCTCCTACTCTGGTAATGTGAATGTGTTCACGAACATACAAATTCCTATACACAACACACCCAGACCCAAACGGGAATCTATCCCACGACTCGCTACTGTAGCAACCATGCAGTCATACTGAATTTTCCCACATTTTGCTGTTGCGAATTGATCCCTTGAACATGACATAAGGAAATGTCCCCGCCGGCAATGGCATTGCCCTTCAGTATCCCGCAGACAGTGCTAAATATAACAAATTGATATTTAACTGCCAGGAAATGTGTGGGACATATTTTCTTTTGTCAAATGAATCATGTTTGAGATATTTATTCATTTATATGTATGTAAGTATTGACTGTACATACGTATATGCAAATACATAGAATGGGTCAAGTTATTTTGTATGTAGGCAAGAAAATAGAGATTGATTCAGTACAGAGTCAGTAAGCATTTGTTATCTACCGGTGGGAGAGCCATGCTTAGGCACGAATAGGCCGGCTCGACCGAAGTGATACCACGGCCTCACAGAAAACCGACGTGAAGTAACGCTTGCGTTGTTTCGTCGTGCGAGTGAGGTTACCGGAGGCCCAATTACCTCCCTCCCCTTCCCTAATCTCCCCAATCCCTGATTCTGCAATGATCGTCAAACTCTTAAACCCAAAAAGGCCGGTAACGCACTTCACTAACTGGTGTTCCAGGTGTCCATGGGAGACGCCGATTGCTTACCATTAGGCAGACCAAATTGGCAGACCAAAAGTTACAAAAGATAAGAAAAAAACAATAATAGAACTAAATAACAATAACTGTACTGTCTGTATACTGTATTCAGACCCAAGAAATAGAATTAAAATGTAATAATTTGTTTGCAGTATGGCGAAGCTAAGAGAGGAAGTACTGGAAGCTGACTCTCAGATAAAGAAGAAGCAGTATGAAGCTGGACCCAAACCTTCTTTCGGGTACGTAATGTTATTGTTTTAGGGTTTCGTGAACAAAAGGTAAACGAGACTATTGCCGGAATACTGAAACGTTACTCAATTTTAAGTCGTGCTCAAATATCGTGCCATCTCTGTCATTTTACAAAGAATTAGTGGTGACAGAACTATACTTAGCGCAACTTAAAATTGAGTAGCGTTTCAGTATTCTGACATATGATTACTGTACCCCCTGTACTGCTGTGAAACTATAAAAGCCTTCGTACGCGAGTTCGACGCTCGCTTGCCCAGTTTTTTATGTAATCTCACATAATTAGTATTATGTAGATTTAGATTAGTTGAATAATTTCTATGAACAAAGCTACTCATTGTATGAAAGTTATGAATTAGCTATTGTTATAAATGAGAAAGTGTTATGCTCTCACGGTTGAGCCGATAAAGATAACTACATAGATGAAAGCGTATGTTCAATAACTGATGATAATTGGGTAGTTTCCAGGGTATCAAAATTAAAAATCTAATTAGTCCGTCAGTTAGATGATGAAAAATATTAGACACGTATTTTTTTTTCGTATTAAGTTGCAATACTTAGATAAAATGATACTAAGTTTAGGAGTGGGAGGGCGTTACGTCATAACGTACTACAAAATGTGGCACGCTGTGACGTCACACGATATTTTAAATTAATATATCGTCGAAAGTATTTAATTTTGTGAGAAAAGATGTGTCTAAAGTTTTAAATTAATGTACCAGATGGACATCAAAATAAAAAGGAAACTCCCCTATTAAATAGTGCTCTGTTGGGCCAAAATAATGACTATATGCTACAATGGAGTGTTTAAGTTAAGAATATCAGTTTCATAAACTTAACTCCAATTAAAAGTATTGTGTAGCAAGCATTCTTTAATAAGGCAATACTTTAAAACTATCCATCTTTATTAGTCAGTGCCCGTCCATAACTGAACAGGCATCCCTCAATAAATAAACAAATATGTATACTTGACATAATTTACATGACTGCCTCACCCGGCAGTGGCACTTGCGACCACTAGGCCAACCTAGTGGTCGCAAGTGCCACTGCCAGGTATGAGGTCTCGGGTTCGATTCCCGGGTCGGGCAAAGTGTTACTCGGTTTTTTAAGAAAACTCAGTAGTAGCACAAAGTCTGGAATTCTGCCCATTATATGGCAATAGGCTCACCTCCTATTACATGGAACTCATAACATAAATAGTGAAAAGTGGGTGTTACATTGTACAGTGGCATTGAGTGTTGTAATGTGCACCTTTGCCTACGAGGATAAAAAGCGTGATGATATGTTATGTAATTTACATGAATTGTTTTAGTTACGGAGGTAAATTCGGCGTACAAGAGGACCGCATGGACAAGTCCGCGGTCGGACACGACTATGTCGGCAAGACTGAGAAACATGTCTCGCAGAAGGATTATGCACAAGGTACATTCATTTAATAAACACCAATAAATATTTACCTACGTCTCCCCGCAAGTATGGTGAGAGACGTGAGAGCCTCCTAAAGCACATTTGACAGACATTGAGCAGCAACGCTCTCTAATAAACCTTAGGCCTTAGTACGAGTATGAGTATGTTTAAAGTAATTGGGTACTTCACTTAAAATACATTATTTCGACTGTCCAATACAATAAAATATTAAAAAAATAATCATACTTTCATTAATTGATTTTATGATCAACTTAATTTTAATATTTTTCAAGCAAATCTTTAAGAAATAGGTATGCTGTTTGACGCTTAAAAAACGTGACGTCACAATACAGAATCTCATACAAAATTCATAGGAAACTGTCGGTTTTGACAGTTCTAAAAAAGTATTGAATTCGACTAGTTGGCAAGTACCCAATCGAAACGGGATCGCGTTCGGCGCTCTTGGTCTTTGGTTTTTTATGGGATAATTCGGTAAACGAGCAGACGGATCACCTGATAGTAAGCAATCGGCATCGCCTATGGAACATCAGAGGCGTTATAAGACTGGCCTATTGGGAACCGGGGATTTGAGGATTGTGGAGGATTTGGGGATTGGGGAAACTGGGGAGGGGGGAGGGAGTAATTGGGCTTCCGGTAACCTCACTCACACGACGAAACACAATGCAAGCGTTGCTTGCGTATCGTTCATTTGTACTTTTTTCTTATATTTTATTATTACTCTTAGGTTTCGGTGGCAAATATGGCGTGCAAGCGGACCGCATGGACAAGTCAGCTGTAGGTCACGATTACGTCGCGAAGGTGGAGAAGCATGTCTCGCAAACTGACTACGCGCAGGGCTTCGGGGGGAAGTATGGGGTGCAGACTGATAGAGTTGATAAGGTGAGCATAGCATATTTAATGCCGGAATACTGAAACGTTACTCAATTTTAAGTCGTGCTTAAATATCGTGCCATCTCTGTCATTTTACAAAGAATTTGTAGAGATAGAACTATACTTAAGCACAACTTAAAATTGAGTAGCGTTTCAGTATTCCGACATAAGCAATGTATGCCCCTTAAACTAACTTGCGATTAAATTGCATCGTTGGTTGAGCGGCAGTGATGGTATTTAAATTACAAACATAGTTATGGCACGCTATGTGTTCGATAGATTTCACCGCCTATAAAGTATAAACGTATGCATACGTATGTCATGAGTCATGACTGCCACTAGCTAATCTCTTTGGTAAAGTAAGTGATGTTTATAAATAACATAACATCACGCCTTTTATCCCCGAAGGGGTAGGCAGAGGCGCAAATTATGCCACTGTACAATGTAACACACACTTTTCCCTATTTATGTTATGAGTCCCATGTAATAGGAGGTGAGCCTATTGCCATATACCGGGCACAATTCCGAATTCCGTGCTACTACTGAGATTAAAAAAAAACCCAGTAATACTTTGCCCGACCCGGGAATCGAATCAGAGACCTCTTGCCCGACAGTCGCACTTGCGAACACTCGGCCAACGAGGCAGTCTCCCCTCGCATATCTCCTATACGTTTCCATAAACAGTCAATTTGCACTTGCCTATAATGTCATTTTACTCTCAATCAGAGCGCGGCCGGTTGGGAGCACAAAGAACAAGTAGAGAAGCACTCCTCCCAGAAGGACTACTCGCACGGCTTCGGAGGGAAGTTCGGAGTGCAAGCTGACAGGAAGGATGCATCCGCTGTAGGATGGGACCATAGGGAGGACTCACAGCACCATCAGTCGCAGAAAGGTAAAGAATTAAAAATAAATAAAAACTGCAACAAATTACAGACAATTAGAACAGCTTACTCCTGTCTGTCTTTCATGAATATGATTATCAGTTTTATGGAAATAAGTTTGGAATTGTTAGAATACCTTAAAGAACAGTTTGAAGTCTTTGGAGTTGAATTACTTAAGGTTTTTATCATGTTGAAAAATACTCATTTTATTTGTTTTGTTCTGGTTCACCTATATGGTGCTTTTGATTTGAATTTTTGCGGCCTTAAAGTCTGTATATTTTTGTTTTTTCATACTAGACTACGCGATCGGTTTCGGAGGTAAGTACGGCGTGCAGACGGATAGACAGGACGCGTCCGCAGTGGGCTGGGACCATCAGGAGAAGACACAGGCACATGCTAGTCAAGTCGATCATAAAAAGGTAAACAAACATTACAGTATTGTACACATTTTTTATGACAGGTTTGAATGGTAGAATTAAAGTTATGTTTTTAATAAAAAAAATCTTGATTAGGCAAAGTAACACTAGTATTATGAATGTGTCTTTCTTTGAATGTTTGTCCGTCAATCACGAAGAAATTACTGAACGGATTTTAATTGCAAAAAAATGATGGTATACAGGCAGGATATGGGCTGACTTAGGTGATATAATATTTTTATCCCAATTAAATGCTCGCATGGGCTAATACACGGGCAAAATCGCGGGTAAAAGCTAGTTTTTAATATGCCCTTTTCGCTAACAATGTGTTAAATATTCATTCAATTTTCAAAAAGGAAAATAATAATTTTAAAACTGCTTTAACGTAAATGATTGTACTGGAAACTCACGATTGACTACCAATTAGGTATTCGTAAAGAAACAATAGACAATGGACCTTCTCATTCCAGGGTTTCGGAGGTAAATTCGGAGTGGAGACTGACAGGGTGGACAAGTCAGCTCATCGGTTCGATGAAGTGGAGAAAGTCGGCACCAACTATACCAAGCAGAAGCCGGACATTGGCGGCGCCAAGCCATCCTCGCTAAGGGCCAAGTTTGAAAATATGGCTAAGGAAAAGGAACAGGCAAGTATTGTGTACAAAACGTTTTTTGTTAATTAGAATTTAATTATTCCGGTATAGAGTTCATTTTTGTTGTTTTTTTGTAACATAATAATCCTTACTTCCTTACTTTCCTTACTTATATTATAAATCGGAAAGTGAGTTTGTTTGTTCGTTTGTTTGTTCCACTTTAACGCCGTAACTACTAAACCGATTGCTTTGTATTTGTTAGAAGTCCGGATTAAACAATAAGGTACTTTTTATCCCGGAAAAATTTGATATTCCCGAGGGAACACAAAAGTATTGATATAGATGGCGCTGTGTGTATTGGTATATGTCACATTGGCTTTTTATCCTTTTGCGACGCGAGCGAAGCCGCGTGTAAAAGCTAGTATTAAATATTTTTAACAATAAGTATTATTAGGACTGTTTGATTATTATGTCCGAAACTAACAATTTCTTTCTTATATTAAAGTTTTTCATGACAATATGAGTGATTGTAAAGAGTCTGTATGTTATTTTATTCGTATTTTGTATAATTTCAGGAAGCGCTACAGTCTGTACAGAGGATAAGGCAACAAAGAGAGGCCATGGACAAAGACTTATCACAGAAGGTACGTAATTACATCATATCTTTATATATATTTCTTCTGTGAATGTGTATGTCACTGAAATTCTCTCAATCGACTGGACCGATTTTGATGATTTGTGTGTGTTCAAGGGGATCTGGGAATGGTTTAGATTCACAAATCAGCCCGGCAGATGGCACTGCAGTCGATGTTTAGGTTATTTATCCTGAACAGCTGAACTAATTTGAATGAATTTTTGTTTATACCTTCAAGTGGATATGCAGGACAACGTCTGTTGGGTCCGCTAGTATTTTATAAAAAAAACATAACATTCGTTTTCTTGCAACTTAAAGTAAAATATACTTTATTCTCAAAGTGTTTAAGACCAAGCATCTATGTAGATTTACTAATTGACTGCATAACATCACGCCTTTTATCCCCGAAGGTGTAGGCAGAGGTGCACATTATGCCACTGTACAATGTAACATCCACTTTTCACTATTTATGTTATGAGTCCCATGTAATAGGGGGTGAGCCTATTGCCCTATACCGGGCACAATCAATTCCAGACTCCGTGCTACTACTGAGATTTTTTAAAAAACCCATGCAGTACTTTGCCCGACCCTGGAATCGAACCCGAGACCCCTTGCCCGGCAATCGCACTTGCGACCACTCGATCAACGAGGCAGTCTAATTGACTGATAATATTATGTTGAGTTTTCAGAAGCGTGCAAAATTACTTGATTTAAAACACATTGACTTTACAATACAAATATTATCAATTTCACAGGAAAAAGTCCGAGTAGACAAAGAGAAGGCAGACGAGCCCGAACCGGACACAGAACCCGCGCCCCCCGCCAAGGTGCCGGGCAAGCTCGCCAACAGACAGCCTGTACTACCCACTGCGTCGCCTGAACCTGTCCAGCCTCCCTCACCTACTGTGCAGAAGGTATACTATCGCTCACATTACATCAATAGCATATATGTGCCACGGCTGACCAAAGACCTCTTCTCACACGGAGAAGGTTTGAGCATTAATCACCACACTGACTGAATGTGGGTTGGCCATTTGAAATGTATAACTAAAAATTATAAGCCCAAATTTCCTCTGTCCCTTTGTCAGTAATGTCTAAATATTGATAATTTGATTGAAAAAGAGTAACCTATGGAGTTTCTTACTCGTTCTTCTCCATAGGAATCTACACCTTGGAATGAGCAACTAGCTTCACTTCTAAATTTTTATTGTTGACGTTCAAAAGTGCCATTCTGGTCTAATTGAAATAAATAATTTTGACTTTGACTTTTAAAAAAATAATCTTAGAAAGTATAGAAAGTACATATAACAAGGAAATAGTCACATTGGTACTTGTTGTTGGTAGGTTTCGAACCCCGCCCCACTCATGCATGAGAAGCGGGCGTCTTGGACCTCCGAGCCATCAAGACATAATTGTCTTTATATTCAAAAAATCGCTAAAAGGCCCCCAAAAACCCCGGGATATCCCAAACCCCCAGAAGGCCGGTAACTTGCGCCTTATTTAGTTTCACATGTCCCTTATTTTTATCTGTCTGTAACAAAATCTGTGCCCAATATCTGGATATCTTAAGTTAAATCTTGCTAACACTTGATTCGAGCTATTTCCTTTCCCCTTTACACGTCATCTTGTTAAAATATTGATTCAGTTTTAGTAACAAAGGATTCTTTTCTAGGCAATGCCAGAGGCCCCAGCTAGTGTAGCTGCGCCTACGTCGGCGGAAGTGACGTCACCCACAGACAAACAGCCTAACTTGCCAGACGTCACGCTTGTAGGGGAACCCAAGGAGGATAAGGAAGAGGTAAGATAATAATAATAATTAGATGATTTTTCTTTTCAAAATTCAACTTAATTGTTTAGATAACAAAGAAGGGAGTCTGTTACTGTTAAATGAATATTTGATTGTCTTTTTAGAATTAGGTATTTGCTTTAATGATAACTAAATTATTTCGACTGTTCAATACAATAAAATTTAAAAAAATAATCAAACTTTCATTAATTGATTTTATGACCAACTTAATTTTAGTGTTTTTCCAGCAAATTTTTAAGAAATAAGAACGCTGTTTGACGCTAAAAAACGTGACGTCACCATACACAATCTCGTACAAAATGCATAGAAAACTGTCGTTTTTACAGTTCGAAAAAAGTATTGAATTGGACTAGTTAGCATGTACCTAATTACGGTTTTAGTTATTTTATTGATGACAAAAAGTTTATTGTACGATTTTTTTGTTTGCCCGTTTGCGTATGAAATTATTAGCTTCTCTCAGCGTAGTCGCTCGCGGCCTATGCCGTATAAAACCAGCTTATGTGTAATTACAGAATATCATCTATCTCTGTGCTAAAAGATTCAATCCATTCGGTAGCTTTTACGTTAAAAAGGTACAAACATATAGATACACCATCGCAAACTTTCGTAGGAATATTAGTAGGAAAGTGTAATTCAGGGAACAGAGATTATAATTACCTAAGATCGGAAAAAGAGGATCCTCCGACCAGGCGAGGTGGTCGTGCCTGGTGGGCTTTCTGCCCAACAGTTGTTCGTTGGGATTTTCTATGTGTGTTAATTCGCATGTAAACTTCACATGCGTGATGTAGGATTTTGTGACGTCATCATTGATAGTCAATTAGTCATAGATAGTTGATTTATTCTATTGATAATCTAATGTCGTAATACTCAAACGCTACTCAATTTTAAGTCACGCTCAAGTATAGTTCTGTCTCTACAAATTCTTTGTAAAATGACAGAGATGGCACGATATTTAAGCACCATTTAAAATTTAGTAACGTTTCAGTATTCCGGTAGTATATGTGCGTGAACTGTCATGTGACATGTATCGCCACAGTAACTACATTAAAATTTCTTCTCTCACAGATGAGTCGCCAACCAACAATAGTGGTGTCTCCAGTAGGATGGGAGAGTGAGATGTCGGGAGAGGGAGAGTTAGAGGCCGAGGACGAGGACGGATACACGGCGCGAGCTCTGTATGACTACCAGGCAGCCGCGCCTGACGAGATCTCATTCGACCCCGATGATATTATTACTAATATTGTAATGGTGAGTTTACACACCTATAAGAATACAGCATATAATAATAGAAGAGGTATTAAAAATGAGTTACAAAAGGAGGTATAAAACATTATGAAAGTTAATAAGAACTGTACTGAGCGTGTTCATGCTAAAAGGGTTGCTAAGTTGGCCTTTGGTATTTTAAACCTTGCCGCATCTCAAGATTATCTTTTGTTATCGCGAAAATTAATTCTTCTATAAGGGTATTATACCTATGAGATGTTACGGGAGAACCAATCACTCAGTCAATTAATGTTTAAAAATAAATTTACACGAAATGAAAACTTTGGTTTACGTCCAAAAACCAAATCAATGAAACTTATAATAAAAACGAAATTACAAATTCACCATAATATATGTACTTTCTCTCCAGATCGACGAGGGCTGGTGGCAAGGGCTCTGCAAGGGCGCTTACGGACTGTTCCCAGCCAACTATGTGCAACTGCAAGACAAGTGAGACATTCCCACCTAACTGTAGATACTTTAGTTTCATACGAACACTAACTACCCGTTATTGAAGTACTTTAAATGGAACAGAGTGCCAAGGACGAATAAGGTCGGCGCTCTGATTGGACGGCTTTAGTGAACCAACCAATCAGAACGGCGAACGTGCTCCATACTATACGTTACGAATGCTATCATTATTCGTGCTTGGTCGTCTGTTATAAGTATTAAATTCATTGTTAAAAATGTGCTGTTGAAATTCAGCATTCATGCAAAAATCCAGGCCGATGGTATCCCAGTTTAACATATTACGGTCGATCGTAATTTAAATTCTCTTCAACGATCTAGGTTTTACATAAAAATTCAATAGAAATCATGTCAAAAATCGATTTTAACCCAAAGGTTTTGAATGTCTTATTAGTCTATCGGATATTTATAGCAAATACAAGGACGTTTAAGAAAGGCGGTCGTAATGTTACTTACGAAATGATTGATGCAATTAAAATGTCAGTGTGCATTCATGTGTGCGTGTACTTGACGCGCCATGTTACGCGCAAATGTCCTTCGTGTCAATGTGTGTGTATTCTATGTGTAAGTGTATAGTAGCCAGGTGCCACAGTCGTTGTTTCAAGAGACTATGTCCGCCTTTTTTCAACTGGCAAATAATTATAAAGATAGAAGCTTATTAACAATCTATCCAATTGTTTTAGAGTAAAATTATGTTGTAACACTTCTTTGTTACAAAATTTTGAATTTTGACAGCATTTTCTAGCTCAAAACCTAGGTCACAATATAACATTTTCAGTTAGGTTGTGCGTTGAAATACACAAAAAACTATATTCATAAGGTTACTTTAAAAACCAGAGTCTATTTTGAATTTACTTTAATGGATTTTTATTAAAAAAATTATGCTCGAAAATCGTTACGCTAAAATCGAACTTAAGTATCGTAGATATAGAAGCGATTATCCGCTAGCTAAATCGTTGGACTTAAGCTCTTTAGTAGCATGAAACTTAAGCATTTCAGCCTTTCAGTATCTTCAGTTATCGCTAGTTAAAAACGAATGTATTTAAATAAAAAAATATATAAATTAGATATTACTGTTATAAAAGACTTTAATTTTGATATACGATTAAACTTTGACGATTAATTATAAATATTATGTTGTCTGGTAATATTTACAGTAAAAATCTATATAGTAAAAACGCATTTATCAAAATTAATTGTATTTGAATTGCCAAAGATATATGAACTTCAGTTCTTTTAAGCCAAGCATACATTAGAGGTCAAATATCCCGCGACACGTGTCGCCAGCGACGTCGGGTGAAGTAGCGCGACGTTGCCGAATGATGGTCAATATGCCAAAGGATTTAGTTCGAGTTTCTTTTTCGTTTAAAGTAATCGAAACGAGACGGCGTTCAGAGTGCAAAGCACGAATAACTATCGCATCCGTTACTTAATAGTATCGAGCGCGTTCGGCGCTCTGATTGGCCGGCTCAAGTGAACCAACCAATCAGAACGCTTAACTCGCTCGATACTGTTACGTTACGAATGCGATAGTTATTCGTGCTTGGCACTCTGATTGGTTGGTTCATTAGAGCCGGCCAATCACAGCGCCGAACGCGTACTCGTTACGATTACTTTGAACGAAAAAGAAACTTGTACTCAGGCCTCTGGTAACATCACCGTCACTGGACATAAGTTGCGCGTTGTTACCGTATATGTCAGGCGACATCGGCCGCCTTCGGTCGATATGTAGCCGAGACATTTGCCCCCTAGCTTATTCTTGGCTTTATGAATTGCTTACTATTGACTTCGCCCCAAAAACTAAATCATCAAGACTAAATACCTATGTAGTTTTTCCTACAATTCAATGAATTGTTAAAACTGTGAATATTACCAGTGTTTGCGCTTAAAATCTTGTGCGTTACGTATTTAGCGCATTTTGCGCAAACAAGACAATGATTTGCGCAACGATGCTGTCGACGTTTAATGCTTGTAGAAGTGACAGACAAGATTTTTAATGCGCTCTAGAATTAGAAATGGGGTAAGCACATTTGTGAAATCTTTTACCAAACTGAGTTAAATTGTATGAATATACAATCATAAAATTTTATTTAAATTCTTCATCATTCCACAATGAGGTTACTTAGTCATTTTTGGATGACTTTATCTCAAAAATTATCTATTTTAAACCAATGGAGGATTTCATGTTAATGTACTATTTGTAAGATCTCACAACTGTGCTTACCCCCGTAGTAGCTAAGTAAAATAACTTGACGACGTACTTATGAAATGAGATAACGCAAGAGACCTCACTAATTCGACATAAGGTGGATTTGAATTATTTTGTAGCAAACGCCTAAACAGGTATGAACAGAGGTAGAGTAACCTATCTTATGACTTATGAACGTTGCTTTAAGGTCTAAATTAGCGTGAATTTTAATCGTAATTTACGATGTACAACCTATATTCGACTTTATGTAAAAGACGTTTAAGCTTATATTGATAGCTAGATACGAGTATCGAACATTCGTTTCTCAATAGAATAAGATAATATGTATCGTCTTCCAAAACCTACCTCTACGCATCGACTTTTAATTTGAAATGCATTGCATTTTGCACTTTATTGACATTCGTACTACAGTACTAATGTACCTTATATGGTGCAGTACCAATAAAGTTCATAATTTGAATTTTAAGCTATAACGATAAAGTAATATGAAGTTAAAGCATGACAAAGAATGTAGCATTTTTCAATTTATGATGAAATAAATAATTTAAACTACTATATAAATGCCAGGTACTTTAAATATGAAAGTGTTTCATCCCTAAGGTAGGACTATTGGGCTCGCTGCCATTGCAGCGGTAAGTCCCCTCTTTGAGGAGTGGCTTGAGAGACGCTACGGCGTCCTCACCTACCGCCTGACGCAGGTCCTCACCGGACATGGAAGTTTCGGGAGGTACCTGTGTCTGATGGGGCGGGAGGAAACGCCCGGGTGTCATCACTGCGAGGACCGCCCTGAGGACACGGTGGAACACACAGTGGGAGAATGCCCTGCGTGGGCTGAGCACCGCCGTGCCCTCAGGGAAGTGATCGGCGATGGCGACCTCTCGCGTCCGGGCCTAGTGCAGGCCATGATGCGGAGCGAGGGGGACTGGGATGCCGTCTCCTCCTTTTGCGAAGCAGTCATGCTAGCTAAGGAGGAGGCGGGACGCGTGAGGCAGCGAAGCGCTGCCTCCTCGCAACCCAGCCATCGCGAAGGACACACCGGGCGTCGGGGATCGCGGGACGATCTCCGGCCACCGTAAGCGCGGGCCTGCGGACGGCGAGCATGGGTGGCTCCCCGTCCGACCAGAAACAGACCCGAGCGTACGGCGCGTCGCGTTCCGCGCGCGCCTCAAAGAGCCATCAGACCACCACAGATGGGGCCCAATAGGGCCGATGCCGATTCGGAGTCGCGGAGAACCTAACGGGTAACCGGGGCTCCGGCTCGACGTGCAGGAGAAGGAACGGGGTGGTTTTTAGTCAGTAAGAGTCTGACACTCCCTTCCGCCTCACCCAGGCGGGAGCAGTCATTCGATGATTTTCCCCCCTTAAAAAAAAAAAAAAAGGTAGGACTATATTCAATTTGGTAATATTCATACGACTTATTCAAGTCATTTGATTACGAGGACGCTCGACTAGTTTCGAGCTCGACCGGAGCCCTTACTATTAGTAAAGTTTCTAATAAGAAACATCATTCATACGTCGCATGCGTAGCTTGATAAGTATTATTACATTAGCATTAATTTTTAAAACTGAGATGTTAAAGTATAATCTGGCATTTATATATTTATTTTAAAATTCAAAATACATTACATATTTTTATTGGCAATTTATTTATCTTTGCACCTTTTAATGTCAAGTTAGTATTCTATAATTATATCCTTCGTTTTATTTGTCGTAATTATAATTCATATCCTATTTATAATGTCTAGATTAATGAGATAGTCATATAAAATTAGTCCCGGAATTATATATACATAAATTCAAAAATTATAATTTAATTTCTATGCATTTAATTTGGACTGTAATTATAAGTTTTTATTTTAATTACGCTTCGAAATTGAATTTAAAAATTTCAGTGAAATTTAAAAATACTGTATTTTTGCAATTAATTTGTATTTATAGGAATATTACCAACAGAGTTGTTTGTGGATGTGTTTTACAAATGTTGACATTTCACAGTATGAATATTTTGCTTTATATGTCACAAATGTATAAGAACTCTCGAAGAAGAACAGAAGACGGAGTCTGGAATTGTGCCCGGTATAGGCTCACCCCCTATTACATGGGACTTATAACATAAATAGTGAAAAGTGGGTGAGCCTATTGCCATATAGGTACCGGGCACATTTCCAGACTCCGTGCTGCTACTACTACGTACTAAGATTTTTTTTAATAACCAAGTAATACGGAAACTATCATATAAATAGTGTTTAGTACCTATACATCGTACTTATTTGTTACGAAACTCACGGTAGCATAACTAAAATTTGTTTGATAATAGTCAGTGGGCGTGTTCAAACAATGAAAGTCTTGAAATTCAGTCTTAATAATAAATATATTCTTAATATTTGTGACATAATGAAGTTAGTCTAGCATTAAGTAGCATGGATAGGTATCTAATGCCGAACTATGTTTTATATAAAACGATTTATTGTTTAAAGATGAATAAATCAATATTTTATAGCTATTCTACTGTTTTATTTACCATTATGTGTTAAGAAAACCTTGCCTTAAAAACTGCTGAACTTAAATAAATTGGGTGGGTCATCATCATCAGCCAGTCTCCATCTACTTTTGGAGAGCAACAGTAGGCGAATTTGATCTTCAGTTCTTCACATACAACCACTTTGGGACTATCGGTACTCTCCCTAGCTGGAGGTATGTGTCGGAGACTACACCGGGGCTGTGGGTGACCTAGCGGGTTATTAGGCCCAGCTCGACGTGGGAGAAAGAACAGAGTTGTTTTGGATCAGTCTCAACCACTTCAGCTTGTCAATCGTGTGTACTATCTCGATGACTGAAATGTGTAAAATTCCTTTACTCTCCCACTATAGTTGTGCACCGGATTATTATTATTAAAGACGTTAAGATAATACCTTAAGAGGTGTTTTGTAAAACCTCAATAAAAAGTCATAAACGCTTATCTATGTTCTGTCCTGTATCAATGTTGCATTGACATGTTGCCGCTCCGGTACGTGCTCTTTATACGTACTGTTATCACTGACACCATCTTGGTAGTTAAATATCATGCCCCTCTTCTGTATTTTGATTACCGAAACTTGCTGGTACACGCTAAAGCATATAACGGACATAACAATGACGAAGACAACGATGAAAATTCGAACAAAATGTTCTGGATTTAAAATCGCCATGATTTTTCCACCAACATGAAAATTACTACCAAGAATTTAAGTAACAATCATTTAAATAGTTGAATGATTAAACTCAATAACTTTATGTTCACACACCAAACAGTAGAATGACATATGACATCCGCCTTATGACGACCTACCGACCGAAGTCAGTTTTGGCATAATTAGGTATTTCACCTAAGCACTCCATAATGCATGAACTCACATCCTCGTAAAAACCATAGATTTATTGCCATAGTCCTGGCATAATGTTTGGCAGTTTGAATTTAGAAGCTGTCAACTAAGAAGCTTGCTTGTTTGCTTAGTTTCTTGTACACAGAGGGCAGATGTCGCTGTTTGGTTAGTTAACAAATGGGCATTGTAGATGTCGCTATAAGGCCTTTTGAACCCTAGTTTAGTAATCTGTGTTTTATTATGTAAGTGGGATGTTTGTTCGACTCTTCGATGAGCGCACATTTTAGTAACAGGTGCACCAGGTTACAGGTCTATATAAAAAAATAATCAATAAACGCATACAAGACAGTATAATAGCCAAAATCAAAACAATGTTTGCAGGTTTACAAATACATGCGATACTAGTTTTCGGTGCTGCATGTTTCACCCAATGGTCGAAGGCAGATACTCTGGTGAAGAGCGTAGTTTTGTCATAGTTTTTGCCGCTCACGACGCCTACTAGGAGGTCCCTGCCTTTCTGCTCATTAGGGTCGAGGGTCCCGTAGCAGGCCAAAGGACCTCCGGAGTCGCCACCTCCAACGTCTGAAGCCTGAGAGTTAGTGCAGATGAAGTCGTTCATTTCCATCTCCCACCACGTGTTGCACTGCTGTCTCGAGAGTACCGCGATGTCGGCCCATAACAGTTCCCGAGACATTTCAGGTCCCTTGCCAGTCTGGCCGAAACCAGCCGCTATACATGTTTTAGGATAATCTGTCAACTTCCTCGCTGGTATAATGTAATTGACTGTGTCTGAGAACACAAATGGAGTGTCCACGATTACCAGTGCAATGTCATTTAAGGGGAAATTGAAGCGTTCGTGTATTGCCACCCTTACTATAGTCCGCCATTGAGCTTTTTCTGATGTTGACGTGCGACCTGTGAATAACACAATAGGTATGCTAAGATTTAGTTTTCAAAAGTAAATTTAATTTTGTTCATTTAAAGTGTCTATAGAAATGGCTTGTTTTCTTGGAGAGGGTGCAAACGAGCAGACGGATCACAACCAATACGGACGTCCGTAACACCAGCGATGCTATGAGTGCGTCGCCGGCTTTTTGGGGATGAGTGAGATTGAGCCTCCGGTTGTCTACCGATAAATTATATCTAAAACGTGTTATTGGGTTACCGGAGGCCCAGTCCTCCGGCACGCTATTCTAATAAATCACACACCTGAATCTATCAAATCGTTGCGCGTATTCCCCGCCACGACCCGCAACAAATAAAAGTTTTTAGCATAGTAAAAATTTTTGTCTTCAAAGCAGTGCGCAGCTGTCAGCACTTGGGTGCTCTTGATGATGCTTCCACCACAAAGGTTGACCCATAACTTCTTCGCCCGGGTGATGTTGATTGAAGACTCCTTTATAGAGACTAGGTAGGGGACCTGGCCCTTCAACACCGGGTTTCCATGAATTACTTTGGGAGCCACACGAAATGTGGAGTATTTAAGCGTGGTTATGATGCGCTCCTGGTTGGTTCGTGTGGCTATTGTCAACAATAACAAAAATATTTGAGGTAACATTAAATTTTTGAATAATTTCGTCTATTTTATTATAATAATGTCATGTTTACACCTATGCTTGTGACAAAATGTCATTTTTAGTTTTTAGGTTGATAGAAGATCTTTGTTAGGAGATAGAAAAACTACGGAGGTTTTATTGAGTTATAGAAAGTGGACACTGGATGAAAAAAACTTGTAATTATGTTCAATCGATGAACTCATATGTTTGTTTCCGTGTGGTTTTATAAATTAACCAAAAATAAGTTTTGTTTTATCTTCAACAACATAATAAATTAATGTTTAACAGGTTTCGAAAAGCAAATCTTCTTATCAGCCGAGATAATTATGTCCACTGTTGAATGAAGGTTGCCTAAGTAAGAGGTTTTTACCGTTCTTCATGTTTGGTAAGCGGGTTAGCAATATTTTATGGAATAGTAGGCAAACGAGCAGACGGATCACCTGATAGTAAGCGATCAGCGTCGCCCGCAACACCAGAGGAGACACAAGTGCGTTGCCGGCCTTTTAAACTGTCAAACACCAAGCGGTTACCGGTGACCGCGACCTATTGTTCTTTAATTGTGTCTATAAAACCGGTACTCGACGAGTTAAGAAGGAATACGCTCTTTTCTTGAAGGTTTGAAATTTAAAGATACACTATAAATCAAGTTTCAACCTTACCTGGTAAATAAAACTCAACTAAGAAATAGTCTTAAATAAAGTATTAATCAAAATAACACTATCGAGTGTCCATCGAGAGTTTGTTATCGAACAAACCCTATACTTCGGTAATTACAATTACACCAAAAAACAACCTTGGAAAAAATAACCAATTATGTGAAATTAAAGGCGTGATTACAAAAACTAATCCTACCCATAAATTAAACCATTAATTTGTCTCTCTTCATAATAATGGCGTGGCCGGTCTTTGATTAGGAACGATCTTCAACAATCATTTGTCTATATTAAGGAGCCGTACCATATTTTGGTGTCGCCTCAAAGCCGGCCGTGGTTTGGTCCTGTAATTATGGTACCCGGTAATTGTGGTGACCTAATCACCTAAGTCGAGATGGTTTTGTTAATTATTAGTGAATAAATCTATTGGTTCAGGGGAAATAATTTATAGCTTAGTCCCGAAGATTGTATGATCGTCCGTTGTGTAAGGCGTCACGGGTTTGATTTGATAAAAATTCGTACCCAATAACAAACTTTTAGATTATCTATATCTTACACCAAAAGCCTATAATATGCCTCTTCTCACACGGAGAAGGTGTGAGTATTAATCAGAACGCTTGCTCAATGCGGGTTGGCGATTTCAAACTTATCATTAGATATAATAAGCCTAGGTTTCCTCACATTTTTCTTCACCGTCCGTCAGTGGTATATAAATAATCTTAAAGTACGTATAACTTGGATAAAGTCACAGGTAGGTGCTTGCCGTTGGTAGGTTTCGAACCTGCACCCTCATGCATAAGAAGCGATCGCCTTAAACTTCCGGGCCACTACGACATTTTGTTATCTTTATTTAGTCACACATTATCTTTATTTAGTTGACGAGATAAGTCAACATTCCCTTTGTCACTAAGAACACCGGTTACAAGAGACGGCTACTGTTACATGAATCGATTAATTGCCCAGGCCTTCAAAAATTAAGAATTACACACATTGTAGGTTATGGAGGATAGGTGTCATAAGAAACTATGGAAGTATGGAGTCCTTGCCACGTTATTTTTATGAGTCGAACTTCTAAATGACCTCTGTTGGGGAGAGTTTTTGGACTGTATAAATGATGATGCTGATTAAAGGTCTAGGTACTGGTTTATTCGACGGAAGGTAGGTGTGCCTTTACAAAAATAAGGCGCGCAACGCGTACAGTGCTCACAGCTGATCAACTGGAAAGGAAACTGGCCGTGATCCTCGTCCTTGTACATGTTGCTCCCCGCGCAGCGCTGTCCCCCCACTGATGCTATCGCTAGTGTCGCCTCCATCGACGTCATCGAGATGTACGAGACGTTTCCGAACAACCTCTATGGTAGCGCAACAAAACTATAAACATAACATCAATGTTTTGACAGACAACATCCACAAGTACGATGACAGAAGAAATTGAAAATGTCCGAAATTAACAGCTTTCGAAAATAAAGATCAACAAAATTATTCGTTCAAATTTTGGCAATGAACAAAATTACTAATGCGTGTCCTCATAGTGTTCGCGTTCCTCACCCAAAATGTTATTTGTGATTACGACAGGCGTGTTATAACGACTCTAAAGTACTCGAAATACAGCACGACACCAGCAGTGGTCAATGGGAAACCTGCTGCGGAAGGTCAGTTCCCTTTCCTGGTCTCTTTAAAAGAACCAGTGCAGAAAATGGAGCCGGATAAAATTGTGTGGAAAAACCTTTGTGGCGGAAGCATCATTGACAATAATCGGGTACTGACAGCAGCACATTGTTTTGAAAATAACGAGTTCTACTACGTGAGACACCCGGACGCGCTCCGTGTTGTAGCCGGGGCCATGAGTACAGACCTTATACACAGCGGAAAGACGGAAACCACTAGAGAACTCCAATTGAGAAGCTTAAAGAAAGTTCTGATACATGACCATTTCAGCTTCCCAGCAAATGACATCGCTATCGTCCTAGTCACCGAGCCGTGGGTCTTTACCGAAAATGTCAATGCCATAAAGATGGCAACAAAAGTGTCGGATTATGCTGAGCATTGTGTGTCTGCTGGGTACGGTCGGGTGGGGCATCGAATGAAAGACACCATCTCCCCAATTTTGCTGACCGCGAAAATAAGTACAATGCCGAGGTGGCGTTGCTCTTTGGTGTGGGAGATGAATATGAATTCGTTTATTTGTACAGACTCGGCGATAGCGGATGTAGCTAGAGGTGATTCTGGGGGTCCTCTGTTGTGTTACCACACCGGGGACCCCAACGAGGTGAATGACGAGGGAGTGTTGGCAGGCGTAGTGAGCGGCAAGAACTTTGATAAGACAACGTTGTACACACGTGTGTCTGCCTACCACCCGTGGATAGAACCCGCTTCTAGTGCTGTTGGTATATTTCCTGTGTTTGTGACAATATTATGTTTGCCTATTATACCTGTCGTTTTAATATATCTTTTGTTTTACTGTAACATTTTCTTGAACTAATTTGAATCGCTCGCTGGTTGACTGACGCATACGACTAGCTTTAGACAAACAAAGCATTATATCTGGGTTTATATACACTAATGACACCACTCGTGTCTCGTCGTAATGAACTGCTAAACACAATGTCAACAAGTTGTAGTACCTCCCTCTATTATAAAAAACCTGACAATATAACTAGCAAGTTGTCGATTGTTCTATGTCTCCAATTACCACGCCAATCCGATTCTTCACATTTTACTTAACAAATGAGTTTGACGTAAAATTCTTTTTTCTTCCATCCTCCCATCAGCCAATATTCCAGACTTAAAAGGTTGGGTAGAATTAGACTGGATTATTTTAGGGTTGGAATGAGGTCAGTAGGTACTAATTAACACGATCCTCGTTCACATCGAGTGAGGTCTTGTTTGGGAGATATATTTTGAAATGTGTAAAATCTTGCCAAAGTCTGCCCGAAAAAGATTGTTTCGTTATTTTAGTTATTGCAATCAGTGTGGCTACTGTTGTATTGCACTTAGTTATATTATAGAGATATGATCGTTATCGTTTAAAAAAATACTGGTAGGTACATAAGAATATAAATATAGGTTGATTTAGGGATTTGGGTGGGAGAAGCGACCTTGGCCTACTTATAAAATCATCGAACATCGGAGCATGCATCTGAAAACGATTCCTGATGGGTCGTAAAACACAACGTGTGGAGTCGATGAATGGCGATTAACAATGATTTAGGATAAGTCTGGACGCTCAACTTACAATATCTTGAAAGCTAGAAGTCAGTGCTTAAGAGGTACTATCAGTAAAGTTGACGGCAGTACAGTTTTTAAACAAATTCCTGTGGCGAACACCCTGATTTTCCTGCGGTCCCTTGCGCCGGATATCGCCTAAATGGTCGACCGCTAACCTTGTCGATTGTACTTGCTATGTTTTATTCAAAAGTAGGTAACACTGACGGCATTCATCAACATCAACAGCCCGTGACAGTTCCTTGCTGGACGTGGACTATTGGCTTCATAACATAACACCACGCCTTTTAGGGGATAAAAACAGGGGTTAGGGGTAAGCAGAGGTGCACATTACGGCACTTATTGCCACTGGTACTGGTTTTTCTGGTATATTCACTTTTCGCCGCTATGGGCTTCCTTTATATTATTAGAAGGTTTGCCATAATGTGTACGATTTTCAGGTGGATTAAAGATCACAGTTAAAGACAAAATGAAGATATATTTAGGTATCTGAGTACCAAAGCCCGTTAATCTTAAGTCTAAGTAAGTTAATCTTCTTTCTCTTTTCGAAAAATTAGGTTAGTATATTAGGTCTTTGATAAAGCTAGTTTCTACAAAGTTGATATCGCATAAAAAATGTATAACCAAGATTAGCATAAAAATGAGAGCGGTCTGTTATTCTATGTAAAACTGATGGTTCCGTATCAAACTCGATCAAGTAATTTTTCATTGTGAAGTGTCGTCAGCTTAAAAAAATATTGTAAAATGGTACTTTTAATTAGTTTGCGGAATTCTGAATTAAAAGAAAACAATTTGGGATTTGTTTTAACGAAATCTTTGTTCGGGAGAGTCTTTGTTATTGGAAGGGAGGGACGTCTTTACAAAATTAAAATAATTAAGCTATAAACAATGATTTCAACCCCATCGTATTACTAGCTCATAATAAAACGGATAAAATTACCTAATCAAAAGTAACTTCAAAGTCCAAGATTTCCAAGTTTTATGTTATTGTTAACTTAACATTTTATGAAATGAGATGAAAAATAAATATGTTTTAATCAATACAATTTAAAAATAACGATGTATTTTTGTCTACATATTACGTATGTATTGATCTGTCTGTCGCGTCATTAATATGAGCACAAAATATGTCTGTCTGTATGTATGTATTGTATATCTAAGAAGACGCAATACGTCTTATTGTGTCGATTGTAATATAAATCAACTCATGTATTTATTGCTTAATAAGGTACAGTGTTTCTCAAAGTTTTGAAGTATAAACAGGCTGAAACGGTACACCGCTAGACAATGGACCTCTTTTGCATCGAAGGAAAAATCTTTGTTTTGATATTGATTTTTGACATTTCCTATCAAAGATGTTATAAATACAAAGGCCTATATAGGTTACCTAAACAACATGCAATCTTTATAAACGGCAATAAGCGTACACAAGAAAACGCAAGTTTTTGGGTAAAATATGGTTAATTACTTACATTTTAACGTGACACTTTCTGTGCGCTTATAACTATTTAATTACAATATCATTGATTCCTATCCTATTTATAAAATATCTATCAAAATTCAGAGATTTTTGATTTAATGCGGTTATTAATTTTGACTCTATAAGGTTTAAGCAAGGAGGTTGAAAAAGACGGACATAATGTCACTTACAATAGTGCTTACAATTAATTGAAGAACAAAATTTTCAGTGATTTTTTTATGTATGCGTGTAACGTGCCAGTCAAGTGCCACAAATGTGTAATCCTTTAGTCAGCTTTTACCAAAACCGCGAGAAAACGAGAGCTGGTGAGATAAGTATTCTATTTTACTGTCAACACATGATATATCAACATTATCAAACCGGAACCTTAAGGTGCTCCCTCACCGGGATCATTCGCGTGTAATGTAACGTTACAGATCTGAGCATTACATCAATGAAGGAGGAGAACCGAGCATTGTAATGCGTACCTTGTAATGATACAATGCGTAATATCTTGATACAACTTTTAACATTCATGCCCCCGCTCGCCCGCCCGCCCGGTCTGACATCTTGCTATGAAATCCTCAAAGTCGAATCATTACACGCAAATGCTCGTTACTCAGGGAGTTATTATTGTAATGTAATGCTCAAAGTCGAATCTAAAATGTTACATTACACGTGAAGGCTCCTGGTGAGGGAGCACCTTTAAAAACAAGTCTGTCTTTGATACAGAAGTTTGAGCATCATTGCCCAAGCATAGAAGATTTTAATGAAACGATATGAAGGGGATATTTTCCCCGCAACCCCCATACATCGTTTGCATGGTGTGATTGTATGGGTATGGTGTCGGCGCGTTTACATTTATATTGTACTATGAATACGTTAGCAGGGATAATCGAACTCAGATGAATTGTATATTTTTATAATATGTGCTTGAATAAATTTATTAGGAATGGTATGAACTTAGGCGGCGTTTATCGCTTGCCATCAGGCCATCTGTATAGGTACCTTCTTGTTTGCTCCTTTATCCATAAAAAAGTTTATAATTACATTGTCTGAATTAACTAAAAATCGCGGGTTACTCACGTGAATATACTGAGAAAAGCTCTACTAGTTTCGAACCACAGAGGGGTTCTTCCTCAAGAGCAGTGTGCGCGAAACTAATAGAGCTTTTCTCAGTATATTCATGTGAGTAAGGATTTTTAGTTAATTTAATATGTCTCATGATAGTTATTATAAAAAAATACATTGTCTGAACTTCACGTGGCTAGGTTGTTTGTTAATGCAATACTGAAAGATGGAAATGCATTAATTTCGAATAATTTAAATACAATTAAAAATAAATTGAGTGTGAGCACACTTTAAGAAAACAGTACCTACAACTAGAAGAAGAAATAAAATAAAGCGTAGGGTTTTAAACAACATGAGGGTGTGACTAATACCTATAGATATATTAGAATGGCAAACAGTTATAATATTTTGTACGACACGCTTGACTGCGGAATCCCAATTTACAGCGAGTTTGATATGAAATTTTTCAGTCGCGAACACATCCACGAGTACCTACTGAGAAATGTTCAAAGAATTCTAATAAAGTTACAATTCGATATATTGCCGTCATTGGTATCGGTGACTGATAGTGATATTGTAAAGATAATTATTTTGTTTGTCTGTTTGTAGTATTAAAATATGTACAATTTAAAAAAAATCTTAAGTGACTTGCATAAGCAGTAATTAAAAAAACGTTGCCCCACATTAAGATTTTCTCCCATGTCGTAGAAGCCAGTTCTTATCATAACATAACATCACGCCTTTTATCCCCGAAGGGGTTGGCAGAAGTGCACATTATTTCACTGTACAATGTAACACCCACTTGTCACTATTTATGTTATGAGTCCCATGTAGTAGGGGGTGAGTCTATTGCCATACACCGGGCACGATTCCAGACACCATGCTACTACCTAGTAATAACACGTAGTACAAGTAGTAGCACTTGCGACTACTCGGCCAACTAGTCAGTTCTTATCCTGATATTCATATGGATCCTTCAGGACTTTTAAGAGTATTCCAGAAAATTAATCTAAGAGACAGTTTAAAATATTAGGCGGGTGAAACCCCGGTTTTATGCTAGTTACAAAATCATATGAAGACGACATGTAACCTATATTTGATACAACATAAATTATATTTTCCTGATACGAAGTTGTGGAGGTAAGATGGAATTTTTAATTTACTTTTTAATACGATTTATATACAGAATGTTATTAGATAAGGTGTTGGAATATTTCTTCTCAATACTTTATATTGGATTTGAAGATAGGATTGATATGTGCTACATTTTTCTTGTTGGTATTTTTAATAGAAGGTGATGAAAGTTAAATATGAAATAAGTTTAGGTACACCATTTCGAAATCTTAAATCTACAAGACTCTTTGCCAGAGCTCGATGATTCTCGTGTCTGTATCCTGAGTCAGGTAAAGTATTAACAGATATTAACTTTCGTAACATTCTTAACAACAACAGAATCTCTGATCCAGAATTTAAACTCGGGTTTACGTGTGGGAGAGCCATGCTTCGGCTTCACAGAAAACCGACGAGAAACAACGCTTGCGTTGTGTTTCGTCATATGAGTGAGGCTACTGGAGGCCCAATTACCCCTTTCCCTAGTCTCCCGAAGCCCCGAATCCTTAACAATCCTCAAATTCCCAATTCCCCAAAAGGTCGGTAACGCACTTGTAACGCCTTAGTGCTTCGGGTGTCGCCGATTGCTTACCATCAGGTGATCCGTCTGCTCGTTTACCGGCTTATACCAAAAAAAGAACAAAACATGACACCGTGTACTCTACAGTCCACTATTATCTGTTCTAACCTATGAGGCAGTGAAGGTTTGGTATTTCGACACTACCATTTTAATATTAGGTACTATTAAGATAATTAATACCTATGTCCTCCTAACTAAGATCATAATTAACTTAAATTATTTCAAATATACATGTATTTTTATGACATCGTTACACGGCTTAATCATGTGTGGAATCTGAAATCTGACACTGAAAACTATCACAACTAAGCATTATGATACGTTCTAAATTAGTGGACCTTCGAATTAATATAGTTCATTATTTTGATACCTAATTAAGAGTTATGTT